ATCTGAGCTTAAAGCCGCATGCAGTCTGCCAGCTCTATGTGGGGCAAGTTGGAAATCATAAGGGAATTTTTATACCTTTCCGCGCTTCAGTGGCGGTGGGTAGTAATGGGCTCACGGGCTTGAGCCCCGCAACTCTTCCCAACGCAAAAGAAAATAACGAAATAAGCAATTGAAACCGTTATGACCGCACGCAATGAACACAGAGCTAGGCCTTCTCAGAGAAGGCCTAGACACAGAGTGATCAACTTTTTGGCTTGCTCGTATATCCAATCACTGTTGCCACCGCTTACAACTATAGTAACCTAACAGCCAATCAAATGTCTTTAGGGCTCAGCAAAGATGAGCCGGTTCCCACAGACCCTCGTTAATGAAACTCTTCTTGTAAAAAGGTAGAAGACTTGAAAAAACTAACTAACACTGCACAGAGGGCTCACGCTGTCCTAGCCCTGACAATGGGGTGAACGTTTACGAAACACTTTCCCCCAGTAACACAGTTACCTACGCTCCCATTGGACCTTTGTTAGGTGCTGTCTACTTTCCTCGACTACACGGCCTAATCCAGCTCATGGAGTGCTGTGTATACATGTTTGTTGTGTGTGCCGCTGAGATTTAACAGTTATTAATCATATCAAACCACTTTTGAGGCAACGTTTTCATCAGATGAAAAATAATTAGAGAAGTTTGGAGGTGAAGCATCAAGAAGAATTTAACGTAGAACAAAGAGAAGGAAGACAAAGGTGACTCTTCTCGTTTGAATGGTTCTCAAAATGCCGTGGCTCGCCGTGAGTATGGAAAAATCACCACTGTTTTGTTCTTATTGTTTGCTATTTGGTGGTAAAGAAGTGAACGTAACCTAAGCCCCACCCAAATTTTGGTCCACCCACCGCCACTGCGGCGCTTACTGAGTCAGTTTCCGAAATCGGCGTTCACTATCTTTTCGCCCTGCAGAACTCAGTGCCGACAGCTGCTCTTACTTCTTCATTTCTCTGCCTGTCTCGTCTTGTGATGTGAAGAGTTTTGCAGAGACATTTCATTTCGCATGCGGCGATTTTGCTTCCATGGGTTTTGCTTTTACGGTCCAAGTCTGGCACTGATAACATAATGTTGGTATGAATATTGAGGTGATAAGCTGTCTCTTTGTGTCCATGGAGATGTTTGGGTGAGATAGGAGGGGTGCGAGCTGGTAGGTGACAGCGTTGGCTTTTTGGGTTCGCATTTCTATTTCTCTGTCTATGGACCCGTTTTCAGAAAAAAAAGCTGCCAAGATACATGTATTTAAACGCCTTCACCAGTTTCAGTTGTTTAATGTTGACATGGATGTTCAGGGGACAATATATGTTTTCAGCTCACTTTCATAACTTCTGTCTTTGATGTGCTTATTTTCATGTTGAATTTCTCACAGGTGTTGTTGAGTTCGGTAGTGTGATTTTGGAGGCTTTGTTGGTCATGATGAATAAGACATTGGCCGTCTGCGAACAGAAATTCATTTAGGCTTTCTGGGCTTTGGTTTGCGTCTTGCGTTAATGTGTCCATATTATAACTATGAGGGATAGAACGCATCCCTGTCGTACTCCAGATCTTACGAAGAACCAGTCTGTATTGCCTTCCTTCGTTCGTACTGAGCTTCTGTTGTTGGTATATAAAGCTCTGATATTATCTAACATTTGTCCTCTGACGTCATACTTTTCGAGTGTCTTCCAGAGTTTTGCATGGTTTACTCTGTCAAAAGCCTTCTCCTAGTCTATAAAGACGATGTTGGATTCTTTGTTTTGTTTGATTGTTTTCTCGCATTATAGACCTATATATATCTGTCGTAATGCAAATACGGCATACGGCGAATACAACACAATAAGGTCATTATATAAGTACCGTAGATTAGAGGTGTTACAAGAGAGTAACAAACACAAAATAGAAGGAGGGGAGATAAAGATGATAGCTGTTCGATAGAAAAGAAGGAGCAAACAGCACCAGAGCACCCGCCAACCACCCACACAAATTTATTTAACCACATCTTTTTGGTCAGACCTGCACTCTTACATTATGAATGCTTAAACATTTTTTAGGAAACATTCTACGGCACTTGCAATATAAATAGGTCCTATAATAAGTGCTAAAGATAAAAAACGTTACTAGAGAGAAACATATTACCTGTCCCCGTAGAATATGCAAATTTAGAAGGCCAAATTATGTACAAAAAAGCAAAATTATGCAAAAATTATGCAAGTTACCGTAACACCATTCGCGAGGTGTTTTGCACTTTTTCAATACGAAGTTTCATGATTTCATGTTTTATGTACAGGAAAATTGAAAACAGAACATATATCAGTATCAGTAATTTGTTGTGTATTTGGAAAAGAAAACAATACACATCAGTAAAAAATAAAATAAATTATATAATCTCTGTAACTTTCAGCTGTAGATCTAGATATCTATAGAGGAAAGAAAAATGTAAAAAAAAAAAAAAAAAAGGACATCTGGACCTCTGATGCTGATATATTACTAAAACCAGGGACACCTGTCAAACATGAAACATCAGCAGACATGAGAACAACAACTTTTGATGGATTGAAAAATTGAACATGCTCAAGGAACAAAATCACAACCCATAACCAAGATCTTCTAACAAGGGAAATAACCAACTTTTCACTTAAATGAGACTTATATGGTGATTACGTCCCTTTAGTCACATGGCGAGGCATTAATTAAAATTAAATGTTTTGAGAAAAAAAAAAAGGGAAAAAACCATGAAAAAACGCGGATAATCCAAAATTATGCAAATGTTGCAGAATTACGCGACAAAACGCGGCCGCACAATCGTATATAATCCTATGGGGACAGTACTACAAAGGAAAGAAGGAGAACAGGAAAGCAAGATGAGTTTTTCATAGGATAGAAGAAGGAACAAACCACAACAGAACACTGGCCAACCACCCACCATTACGAGTGCCCCATCCACTGAGAATTCTCCAGCATAAATTCAAAAGGAGCACACAGAGAGACTACAAGTGTCACTAAGTACAGTAGCTAGACACTGGCAAAGAGCTAGTGGCATTCTCCAACAACTGGCCATTTCCTTTATTTTTATGGTATTGGTATACATGATAGCCTACAAACAACGAAAGTAAAATATTTTTTTAAAAGTTTTAGTAGAGGTTTTACAGCGCTCACAACTGCATAAGGTCATATGAGCGCCAGAAGATTAGAATTAGAGGGGTTACAAGAGAGTAACAAACATAAAAAAGAAGAAGGGGAGATAAGGACGATAGATGTTTGATAGGAAAGAAGAAGCAAAACTACACCAGAGCACCCGCCAACCACCCACGTAAAATAATTGTCATTCATCCAAATAATATAGAATCATGATTGTAGTGCTGTCTGTAAATTACCCTACGTCTAAAAAGCCCACCAAAAAAAAAAAAAAAAAAAAAAAAAAAGCAATCAGAAAAACAGATCAATGAATACATGCAGTTTCCGGAACACTTTAAGATTCAACAACTTGTACATTTTGCTCTCATTGGAAAAATAAATGGCAAAGAGGGAAGGGGTACAGTAAAACAGAGCAACTTATGAGGATTAATCTGAAAAGATGGTGATTAGTGGAAAAGAACAATATATAATAACACCCATGTATTCGTAACACATTATAAATAGAAAGCTAAAGATAGAGCGTTGTTTTCATACTTGACACCGCGTCACTTCCTGGCAATGGACACAACCCAGTCGGTGGCAATTGACGCTACCATTCAAGTAACGGTTAAGCAAGGCATAAATGTATAAGTACATTGTAATTGAAGACAACAGGAGAGAAACTGGTGATGTCTAAAATGTTTTTTTTCTTCAAATTCCCGGTGTGCAACAAAATGATGGATGACATAGATCTAATGGTGTATATATATATGATACAAACAGTGAACGTAAAATACTTGCCAACTTACTGGAGTGAATTTAAAATAATTCATCCAAATAATATAATATAGATCTCTTTCTCTCTGTCTATATATATGTATATCAGGAACCGGTATAGATCTTTGCAAAACAACAAATTAAACAAAGTGTAAAATATAAATATATATATAAAAAAGCGAGTTGCATATTTCACATTCATCATATTTTCTCCTATGATTCTGAGAGCTCATTTCCAACCTGTTCACAGATGTAGGACAAAGACGATGACAAGACATTCAACTGAGAATGGTGTCAGCTGAAGACCGTTTCAATACTTTATTTTATTTTACTTTACTTTTCCGATCCAGTGGACACTTGAGTTCTAGCCCTTCGGTCTGTATATGAGACCGTTCCAATAAAAATATGAGGTCAATCCTAAAACCAGAAAACTAAAAGCATCTCACTGACAAACAAAATCATAGCCTTTAACCCTATCTGTACGTCGTGTTTTACTATCGTATCAATACGACGTGGGGAACTCTGTGCTACCACACTTTACAAAGAGAAAATTTACTCGTTAATCCTATCCATACGCTTTGCATAGTAGTCTGTCAAAATGATTTTTTGAGAAATACTGAAAGTTTCAAAGAGATCTTCGCACTGGAAGTATTCTAATATAAAATGTGACGAATACAACCCTGGGGTACAAAATGACCCCAGGGCGTACAGATTGGGTTACAGGAGCTATATGTTGACATCCCTTTTACTTCTCTAGAGCTGTGAATGCTGCAGGAGTTAGTGACAATAAACTAGAAATTAGCTGCAGAAACGTGGTTTCTAAGGCGACTGGGCAATTTAATGGAAAGAGAACTAACTAGCATCTGCGTTTGTCGCGCCGCGACCTGCGAATCCCGGTCGCGGTTTTTGGCATTTTTTGGTACGATTTTTGAATTTTTCAACAACAAAGCTACTTCATAACATATTAGACACGTACAGGTATTTCATACGTTTTAAGATGTTCATGTGTATCTATTTTCAGGCGGAGAATATAAATACATTACATTACATACTGTATTTTATATTGCTGTCCATCTTTTATTTTTCCATTTTTAGTCTTTGTTGTGTTTTAATTTGTTGGTGTGTTAATTAAAAAAAAAAATTGTTGATTTGTTTTTCTTTTTTTTTTGGTGTTTATACAGCATAATGTCACTTAATTTAATGAAGTTCCTGCCCTTTTAAAAATATAAAAGTGTTATGTTAGAGCGTGTCTCCACCAAAACCGAATACTGACATTGGCATGCCTCAATTGAGTCTGATTCCACATGTAATGTCCTGTAGGCCTACTTTTTCTTGAATTACACACGTTTAGGGTTAAAACAGCCATTCTTTGGATAGGTGGACACGCGCCTTAATTTGTTAATTCTTGTGGTTATTTATCCGCGCTGTTCTAATTTTGATTTAATTCTATTGTGAAACCTTTATTTTTTCACGTTTTTACACTCTGTGTGACTACAAATGATATTCTGGACGCTTAAAACAGAGCAAAAGAAATTCGTCTGCTTTAGATTGTTACCTCTATCAACATATTGCTATAATATACGTCGTCACAGAGAGTTGAAAGCTTGAAAATTAAAGGCAACCTTTTTGGCAACTTTTGTCATTTTTTGTGGCAACTTTTGGCAACTTTTGGACAAAAAAATTGCAACAAACGCAGATGCTAGAACTAAAAGGAAAAGAATCAGGCAGTGCTGTCTGTAACTTACTCTAAGTCTAAAAAGCTCACTAAAACTAAACCTAAAAAAACCCAATCAGGAACAGATCAATGAATACATGCAGTTTCCGGAACACTTTAACATTCAACAACTTGTACATTTTGCTCTCATTGGAAAAATAAATGGCCAAGAGGGAAGGGGTACAGTAAAACAGAGCAACTTATGAGGATTAATCTGAAAAGATGGTGATTAGTGGAAAAGAACAATATAATAATATAATCATTTTGAGAGTGTCCAAGCAAAAATGGATGACAAACCATGGGCCAGCGACAATGCAGGTGGCTCTTCATTATTAATATTATTCAATATGACATGTGGCCCCAATTTAGGGCCAGGGTTATATTTGAAGCCCAAATAAGGTCAAGGCTGGGTTTAGTCATTTGGCCTATACATAGCCCAAATAAGGTCAGGGGGGGGGGGTGGTATTTGGGCTATATGTAGCCTAAATGAAGTCACCTAAAAGCAAAATATATCCAACGTTGCAAACAATTTCACAAACAGAAGTTTAGTTGGGAGCTCAGAGATTGCGAAAGCAATACCATGAAAAAAGTTGAAGGAAAATTTACAATTGACAGAATTTGCTATACACACCGTATTCAACTTTCAAGTAACAGTAACAGCTAAGCAAGGTATAAATACATTGATATATTGTCTATGTATTTTTGTATAAGTACATTGTAATTGTAAGACAACAGGAGAGAAACTGGTGATGTCCAAATGGTAGTTTTTTTGTTTTTTTTCAAATTCCCAGTAAGCAACAAAATGATGACATAATGATAATGGCAAAAACAATTTTTTAAAAAAAGAACCTACAATAACCGATACATGAATACATTGCAAAAGTAGAAAACAAAACATTTCTAAAATTTCTACACAAGAAAGAAATAGGATCTAATTTTTCAGTTAGAATGTGGAAAGTGTTCACGGCCTAGCAGACACTTGTTACTTTGTGAACAAAACAAAAGCGTTTTAAAGACCCCATCGACACAAATTTGGATCATTTAGGAGGCAGGCTTCAGGCTCTGCTGTCAGCACCAACCAGGGCTGAGAGGGGTACTCAATAAAAATTCTCCCTCTTGGTAATCGAACCCGAGTCTCCTATGTGTGACAGCGAAGCGTCTAACCGCTACACCACAGACGCCAGTTCTCAAGAGACAGCCCGCTGTAAAGTTTAACAAGGTGTGTTGAAGAGATTTTTCTTCCTATGCCTTTAGAAATCGGAATTCCTTTTCAAAAGAAAAGCGTATTATAACATCAGAGATAGAGAATAAGAAAAGGCTAAAGGTGTGAGTGTGTGTGTGTGTGTGTGTGTGTGTGTGTGTGTGTGTGTGTGTGTGTGTGTGTGTGTGTGTGTGTGTGTGTGTGAAATGTTTTCACCTCAAATTTTGAGCTTTGTAGGGAAAAGACGATATATAAATCCCCAATATTATCAGACCATCATTATTAGTAGAAAGAAATATGACATCACCAGTTTTTCTCTTATACTGATAGTCTTAATAATAAAAACGTATCACCGAAAAGATTGCATATAGAATGTAAATACATTGTGCAAAACACTCTTCCAAGACGGGCTGGGGGAGAGGTGGAAAGCGTAGCCTGTCTGTTTAAAAGATTGAGCATGGGTCATCCTAAAACTGACCAGTGATCACCACAATGGAATGTATCAGTACAACAGAATGTTTCAAGAGGAATAGCTTGCACACTGTGAAAGTGAGTGGCCCTTCTCTCTCCTGTTAGTTTAGTTATATAGTTTAATAAAGACAATTACACACTAAAAGGAGTTGAAACTCATGCTTCCACAAAATGCAGAGGTGGAGTCTGAATACAAGTTCAAAAAGATATAAAAACATAATTTATTTAAATATTACTTAGTCTGCACAATCATAATCAACACAGGATAAGTCTTACAGTACAGACATTTTGTTCCTGTCATTATATTAATGTATTTACAGTTTACAAAGAGGTAATTCTACTGGTGCTGTCATCACACTTACCACAGAAACAGAAAAATGAAGAAATCAAAATTGCGTTGCAAATCATTTACCATATGTTTTTATGTGGCCCTGTGTATATAAGGCCCCATCAATTGTACACCTTGCCGTAAAAGAATTATCTGAACTCTATGGTTGAATAATGTCGGCAAGTTGAATAAATATGAGCAGGTTAGTCAAAACCTTTAGCAACACGAAAAAATGAGTCAAATGCCCCTTTTGAGAATAAAATTCCACGGGAATAGAATAAATTATTAAATGTTCTTTCAAGCCCTACAAGCGGGTTAAAAACAGTTCCAATGTTATGGTAAAAAACCCCCACACAATTGTGAGAAAGTAGAGACTTTTGCTCAATATCTGTAAACAGCTGACTGCGAAAAGCGACTCATTTTGTTGCATTGCTATACATGACGACAATGAGCAGATTTTAGTTGACTGTATGACATAATAGTCTACAAGCAGAATAGAGTACTCTGGGCACTGGAAGGTTACAGTGTTAAAAGGTTTTAAAAAAGAGCATTGGAGTATATTTGTTTATGTCAAAAAAAGGAGACATGCAAATAAAAGAAAAGCCATTCCTGTAAATGAAGTCATGGTGCATTACAGCTTTTAATGACATTTCATTCCAGGTAGAGTACCCATCACGAAAGCAAGCTGTAGTCACGAGTCTCGGTTCCATCCTCTGCTGTTATACCGATGGCTCGAAACATAGTTCAGGAGAAACCACAAGTAGAAGAAGAAGGCACGACTAACTTCAGATTCAAACAGGAGAAACCACAAGTAGAAGAAGAAGGAACAACTTACTTCAGATTCAAACACCAAACTAAAGTCAAACTCGAGCGTGTTATTACAAATCAAAGAAAGAAGGCAGCACAGAGGCAGATTCAGTCACCACACATCTGGATAGAAGAACTGGGACTGGAAAGAAATGACTTTACTGATTCAGCCCGCAGATAATTTTGACTCTGTAGGCAAATAATTTGTGACCGCTTCGTGACCTCATGGGTGGTCTCACAGAAGAATTAATACATACATATCTAAATCTGATAAAACCCTATGTGTGGTATGTAGAAATGTTCAGAGTTCAGAATACAAAATAATATTCAATGACAATGAAATCAGAAAAAGGGCTGAAATGTAAGTGGTCAGGAAAAAAAGACGAGAGGAAAGAGATGCAAAGAAAAGGGAGCAATAGATGAGAACACAAGAGACAGTCAGCCGCTGTGAGTGGCGCTTCGGGCAAGATCCCCCTGGCCTAGATAATACTGAAGTCTGACTCCTCACATCCAGCCAACACTGATTGTGCCTGCAATTTTTTGCCGACATTAAACACATAAAAAAATGATATACTGCTTTTCTTTGAAATTCTAGAGGGTAATAAGTATAATATTTTTCAGAGACTATTCGCTACCTCCGAATTACAAAGTTCAACCTGACATTTCGGGTTATTTTGAGTTACTAAGCCCATGAGGGAAACCAATGTTCTGTTTGCTCTATCCAAATCGTAAGATTATCCGGAGTCGTTAACCAGATATTCAAAGAATTGCATTATTAAAAGCTTGGATATGTTAGGAAACTTAAAATGTGAAAAGTCAAATTTCTTAAAACTAAGTAGGCTACGGAGCAGACAGAACTTTGTAACTCTAAGGTAGTGAGAATTGGCTAGATTGTGATGGAAGTATGTGACGGAGTCACAGATGGCTGGCGCCTTGAGAGGGAAATATACCCAGCAGCAATAAAAAACTTTCCACTTTGTTTTTTGTAACTGCGCCCTTGTTCGCGCGAGTTAGAGAGCGAAATTTTGTATCTTTTTCTTGAACAAAAATTTAACCACGTGGTCACGCGACCCACATGCAAATTAACATGTTTTATGATATAAGTTCCGCCAAAATTATGAAATTGTCTAAAGTGTGTTTAGATCAACACATTAGGGATTTTAAAACCGACAAAACAAGTTACATACACAGTCCAGCAGGTTTTTGTTGTCTTATATTGCTGCACAAGATGCCAAGGTTAAACCCCGACGAGCACTGTTGGGCATTTTGAATACCCCTAGTTGTACTATCGGCCCGTAGCGTGGCATGGAGGCTTCATTGCTCCCATCAACATCCTGAAAGATTGGTCCCAAGTCACTGGAGTAACACCTGACAGACACAGACCAGGCAGACCATAGGTCTATACTGCCCAGGAAAACAGACAGATACTACTCTAGCATCTCTGAGGTCGCTTTCTCACAACGACCAGCTCTACAGACACTGGAAGAGTTATTAGGGAAAGAAGGATACAACGGCATTCAAACACATTCGAACATCGAACAAGGCGGCCCTATAATGGCCATCGTTTGTCATTTTTCCAAGAATTACGCTTGAAATGACTGGGCAAATCGTCACATTCGTCTGGGATGGAGTTCTCTTCTCGGAGAGTTTGGAGACATAAAGGAGAGAAAGAGAGACTAGCAGACTGCTGTGTGCATTAAATAGACAGAAGGGGTGGTGGCAGTGTGATGGTGTGGGGTTGAATATATTCCAACCACAGAACCTAGCCACACATTTTAAATACTATGGTCAACACCAAAGAGTACCAGAATGTTCTCCGGACTTACTCTGCTCCCTTCTTTCAAACCCATATATATGCACACATTCCAGCATGACAATGTGCGCCCACATGTTGCCCGTGTAAAGATGCAGTATCTATAAAAAGCAGCAAAATGTGAATGTTTAGCTATGGCCAGCCTACTCACCACACACGTCAACCTTTGGGCCCAAAAAAGACATAAACACTGTACAATGACTGGGACAAGGCTGGAAGAGTGGAATGGACTACCACAACAACTAATCTTAAAAAACAACTCCCTCGATCAATGCTAATGTGCAGAACATGCCAAGCTTTATCAGTGCATGGGGCGACAATACTTGTTACTGACAGGAAATTTTGAAAGTAAAGGGTAGGCCTACATGTATCAGTTTGTGCTTAAGATTGTGCTACCATATGAGACATGATCAAGAAACAAAAGGTGACACACTTCTTGACATACTTTGAAATATGTCTAGTGTCAGTTTTTGTTTTTTTGTTTTATATGTTGAATAATAAGCACAATACAGGCTTCTCTTAAAGTGGAAAGTTTCTATTGCCGGTGAGTATATAATATACTATATGCAATGGGCCTGAAGGAGCAAAAACCTGTGCCGAAAATGTACGCAACTGGGTTTGAAGAGGCTAGCACCCAGTGTGGGGCTCTAAAATGTTCACCACAATCACTTTGTGAGATGCTACCAAGCACAAATTCCCTTCAAAGAGAAGGACAATGGTCAGATGTTGACACTGTTGCGGTCATCGACCATCGACATGAGGATCTCCGTGTTTCTTGACAACATCTTCGTCGACCGCTAAACATACCTGGACCCAGGTGGAGCAAAACTTGGCCCTGGGAAACGAAAAAAACCCTCCAATAATTGTCCAAGTCTCTCATGGATGCTGTTTTACTCTGTGTTGTTAGTCTCGTTTCAATGTTTTTCTGTATGGTGTTAGTCTCAGTGTCTCATCCATGTCCTCCTATTTCTTCTAGTTACAGGGTTTGGTTGGCTAGAGCATCATCACACAATTATTACATTTTCACTCAGAGGACAGGCAGGAGGGTCTAGGGGGAAACTTCTCAGAAAGCTAAATACAGTATAACACGGACAGGTCGAACACAGAAGACTTGAAATCCCGCATCCGGCGAACTGTGCCTGCGGTCCCGTTTTTTTCTTCTTCATCTTTGTAAGTAAATAATGCAAAGCTCGAACACAAACACAGAATAGTTGAACTATTTACACAGCCGTAGAGGTCTAAAGTTAGTGCCCTTTGAGGTGCCCTTGAGGCGAAATAATATTATAATAATAATTTTTTATCTTTAAACGAAAAAAGGCAAGGTCGATAAAATACCACCTTCCCCCTCCACAGAAGCTGCTAGCTATGCAATTTTTAGCGCGCTGCTCGACACCCATGCCTAGGCCCCAGGCACAAGGACTCTCAGAATCTTTGCTAGGCAGGCCTAGCTGGCTTGTGCGGAGCGGGCGAGAGGAAGGGTCGTGCATCTCATAATCTATTGTTTTGCCGAAGTAGCAATCTTTGCTGCTTCCCTCGATTCTCTGACACAGCCGATGCCATAACACTGTTCACGTATCCCTCGAACTACCGAGGCCAGTCCCGACGAATATGAACTACCTGTGTTATACTGTAATACACTATGGAAACCTGAGAAAGGCTCAATATTTGATACAATTCCCCCCCCCCCCCCCCCTCCCCGAAAAAGGTGTCTAAAAGCCCCCACAGAAGAAAGTTTCAATGTATGTGCTTGTTGAAGAAGGATCATCATCACCATTGTAGGTAGCAGGGAATAAAAAAAAGGGTTTGAGATTTAGTAGATTTTTCAAATTTAATATAAGTTCAACGTTTCGCCCTGTAAAGGGCTTCCTCAGGAATACGATACAAAAAAATAATGGAACATTTATTGACTACAAGCTATAGCAACAAAAGTGCGCGCATACACGTCATGATGTCAAAATGTGCGATAAAAACAGATCGGAAAGACCACAGAAAATTGAAGGCTATGGCAAAAAGTATTATGAATATAAAATAGTACTTACATCAAATCATAGTATATATAACCATTAATGTTAATGTAAGGGTAATTAATAGTGCTAGTAGTAGTAGCGAAGCAGTAGCAACAGCAGCAGTAGTAGTAGTGGAAGTCGCAGTAGTAATAGCAGTAGCAGAAGTAGTTGTAGTAGTAGTAGTAGTAGTGGAAGTCGCAGTAGTAATAGTAGTAGTAGCAGCAGCAGCAGCAGTAGTACTAGTAGCAGTAGCAGAAGTTGCAGTAGTAGTGGCATATATTATCTACATAAGGAAAGGAATTAGTAAAACTTTGAATTCCACACAGGTAGAAAACTTATGTCCGCTCGAAACGAGCTCAAAGGCAAGGTAGAAAAGTACAAGTTAACTCATCCGTATTTCTTCCACCCCACTGTAAAGACCAATCTTCACCGCATCTGTCTACATTGGACAGAGATGGGCAAATAATCATAAATATCACAGTAACTAGGGTAGAAATACCATGTGTAGTTGTATAGTAACATAGTCTTTCAAAATAGTGTGATAAGTACCCTACGTGGTAAATTTTAGGTCTCTCAAATGTGGCTCGTCGATGTTAAGACCACTGAGGATTTGGTGAGAACCCAAGTTCCAAATCCACATTGATTCTCTTTGATTTAGATTTTCTTTTGTAGGATTACGAACTATTTCAATGCCCTGAAGCTGCAGGTTGGAGGCTCCATTGTGACCAGGACTGTTGAAATGTTGGCCAACTGGTGTGCATGAGTTTTTCTGTAGTAGTAGAATCATCATCATCATCATCATCATCATCATCAGCCTTTCTCATCCCAGACCAATGTGTAGGCAAACAAGAATAAGAGTCAGCATATTCCTCTGTGCTAGGAAAAGTTTCAAGCTCTGCTGTGACAGTGGAAGACACTCCCCTGGAAGAAGTGGATTCCTTTACCTACCTTGCAAGTGTCATCAATGGTAAAGGTGGAACTGAGGCAGATGTTAAAGCAAGAACCGCCAAGGCAAGGTCAGCATTCAATCTATTATCAAAAGTCTGGAAAGTAAGCAACATCTCACTGCGCACCAAGATTCAAATCTTTAACTCCAACATCAAGTCTGTGCTCCTCTACGGCAGCGAAATTTGTAAGACAACAAAGACAGTACTGAATAAAGTCAAAGTCCAGACTTTCATCAACAGATATGTATGAGGAGTATTCTAAGAATTAAGTGGCTGGATAGAATAAGAAATGCAGAGCTGTGGCAAAGGACAGGACAGGACAAAAGGATATAGAAGTAGAAATAGGACTAAGAAAGTGGCGATGGATGGGACACACCTTAAGAAAGCCCAGCGGAAACATCACAAGACAGTCACTGCAGTGCAACCCACAAGGAGCACGAGGCAGGGGTAGGCCACGGGAAACATGGAGGAGAGGCGTGGAAAGGGACATGAGAGAGATGAAGCTCACTTGGAACGAGCTTGGAAGGATGGCTCAGGACAGAGATAAATGGAAGGAGCTTGTATGTGGCCTATATCCTGCCAGGGGTGAAAGGCATTGATGATGATGATGATATTCCTCTGTCCTGGGCAATTTTTTCCATCTCTGTCCAGCGGTACCCCATCTCCTTTAGGTCGAAATATAAGTTCCTCCTCTGGGTACAGTACTCTTAGGCCTTCCTTTCTTTCTCCTTGCTTGTAGATTCCACTTTAAGGTTGAAGAAGGGTATCTGCCCAAAAATTCAATGTAATTTTCTTGTGTTGAGGCATTTACACAATCTCCCAGAAAGCTGAGAAAGTTTAGGTACATCCAGAGTTTTTCATGGCAATAATTTATTGTAAAGTCCTTAAAGCCCACCTTTTGGTATGATATAATAAGTGTGCAATGTAAGTACTGTAAGAGCAAACTATTACTATTATTCAATCAGAATATTCTTTGAGTACTGGCTGAGTGAGTGAAAACTATTACATTATATACAGACTTCAACATGATAAGTTAAGGACCACTTGCAAACACTCTGAGTGGTCTTCTTGGGTCGACCTGCGTTCTTGGACCGATCCAGTGGCTTGATGGCGCTGACTCAAGCAGACAATGACAGAGTGTGACACTGCAAGCCTTCTGGCAACTTCTCGGGCTCCAACTGCATCCTGCAGCCATGCCATAGCTTTGATACATGTACAATCAAAGTCTCTCAGCTTTCGTCTTGGTGGCATGTTGATGCGATACTGGATTTTGCGCAAACGGCGGCTCATGTCATATTGCCACCAAAGTGAGCACAGTTTGAGACCGTACGTCCGTTTATGACGTGCACAAGAAATTTACACTGAGGAATGTCCATGGGGTCGTATACAAGTCTATAAATAACAACAAATTTAGCTAAAATTCCCCGAGGATTTCCGTGCTGCACGTGGGGGTTTTGCCCCTTTAGGAAGCTTTACAGTACGCATTGTTAACCCATTAACACTTTCAGAGCAAAAAAAATTAAATCATTCCTTGCTGTCCTTTATTCTAAATTTTAAAAAATCAGGTCTGTCTGTCAAGGTGGTTCTTAACTTATGTTGAAGTCTGTACATCTGTGGACGGAAATGCTACACTCTTGTGAAAGGGGACGTCAATCCATCTTTCTACTGAGGCATACAGTAACAGTATTAGAAAATATTTGTACAGGAGAAGGAGTTTCACTTTATGACCTAATTTTACTAGTTTAGTCAGGCTTTACACAGTGTAAAACCTGTGTAAAACATCTACCTGTCTAAGACAACCACTTTTTTCCTAACTAAAACAATAAGAGATCATCTTATGCAATTTTGACAGCGCAAGGTGAGCCAGTCTTTAGAGATGGTCAAAATCAAAAGGGTAGCAGTAAAGACAGTAAAGTATAACACCCCCCCCTCCCCACCCCACAGAGAGCTGTTTTCTGTTCCTGAGAGACATAACTGCGACCTCACTGTGACCCCTTTCATAAAAAAACCCCAACAACATAAGAATGTAGGAGCTTTTACGCCACCATCGACACAATTTAGATCGTTTAGGAGGTGGGTTTCCTGCCCTGCCTGTCAGGGCCAACCTGGGCCGAGAGAGAAACAACATCCCAACAGAAAGAGCGAGATATTCGATATAAATTATTCCCCACTTCAGAAATAGAACTTGAGTCTCCTGTGCGACACAGCAAAGTGCCCAACTACTACACCACAGACGCCGGTAATGTGACCCCCCTCCAACCCTAGATGCTGTGCGTTACGTCAAGCAGTTCAAAATGGGTGGTAATCTATAAATAGGTTACTTTTACTGTCAACAATGCGTCTAAATAAGAAAGACAGACAGACAGACAGTTACAAAAGAGAGACAGAACAGAAAGTAAAGCATATCAGTGGCGCCTACCAACCACCCACAACAAGAACACAATGACGTTCACATACCTGATGGTAATGAATCTGACAAAGGGCCTCCGGGCATGTAAGGGGAATAAGAAGGTGGAGGAACATCAGAGTTACTGTCCCTGTAACAAACACAAATATCAGTAACTAAAAATAATAGATATTAATAATTTAAAAAAACATTTGTACAGTGTGTTATAGACTCATTCACAAATAAACTCTATGCATGCACTTTACATTCTATATTATTACCCCAGCAGATCTGAGAGTACTCAGAAACATTCTCGTCTTCCCAGGAAGCTTACAATGAAAGCAGCTGAATAAGCTCCTTTCTTGTCTCCAGTCTTGTTCTGTCATCAACTTTCATTTCCACTTAGAAGAACTAGCAGTCCGTGTGCAAGTTGCGCATGTTAAAGATCCCCTGGTGGTTTAAAATCGATAAGAGTAAGCTTCGTCTGCCACGCGGGCAAAATTTAAAAAATTCCTACCCACTGACAATGTTTGGTGTGTTCCGTGTGCTCAAATGACCTTATGCAGTTGCGAGCAGTGTAAAACACTAAGAAAAAAAAAAAGAAAAAAAAGAAGAACCAGCAGTTGACTATGCTGAGATCTAACAGGGCAACATTCTTTAAAAAATTGTTTTAGTAAGTCTTTCTCAGCACTTGCAACATAATAAGGTCATATAAGAGCTGAAGATTACAGGCGTTACAGGAGAGTAACAAACACAAAAAAGGAGAAGGCGAGATAAGAACGATAGATATTTGATAGGAAAGAAGGAGCGAACCACACCAGAGCACCCACCAACCACCCACGACCCTGACTCAAACAGGCAACAGGTGCGGGTGGTAGAGAAACCCGTCTCCTTTATTAACGGAAGGGAAAGCACAGGGGGCCTGATTAGTACTCATCATCATCATCATCCAGTGCCAGATCTGCGACAGACATCGGCGATTTTGCTTCTCCATTCATTCCTTAGCTCGGATGCTCTTAAAGAAGCTGTTTCCCTGATCTTTCCCCGCTACTCATTTGTTTAGGTTCCCTGAGTTGGTTGCTTTGGGCCTACCCCTGCCTTGTTTGCCTTCAATTTTGCCAGTGAGAGTTAGATGTTCAAGACCTTTATGTCTATTCAGGTGTCCCAAAAACTGCATTTGTCATTTTCAGACTGTTTTTAACTCATTCGCTACGTACTATTTTCGGCTTGTGGACGAATTATTTTTCGGGAGGGTGAAAGAGATGATGACTAGTGGGTAGTTAAAAGGTCTTTGGGGCCACAAATTCAAATAAATATCAACGTATTATATACCAATATTTTCAGTATGGTTTGTAGAATACATCTGTAATGTTTATTTATGTATTTTTCAACTTCGGTTCCTGTAACTAACGATTATGCAACACAATTTTGATTGGATACGGATAAAATTTGAAAATAAAAAATTAATAATCTTTGGTGAAACTCAAAAAATATGTTTGCACCTAGTCAAATGATACCTCAAAATAACCATAAATGAATATAGAACTGGAAAATACTGAAAAGTTTGCAGTTATTTACGTACATTCCATAATATTTGTACATTTTGAACATAACATCCGATATTTAAAAAAAAAAAAAAATTTTTATAATCTTGAAAAACGATCACAAACAGAAAAAAACCCACTCGTATCTTACATGGAATTATTCAGAATTGCATTTGGAATAAACTTATACATGTCTTGAGTGGCACTCTTTGTGTAATTTCATCAAAAATGAGTGATTTGGGGGGAGAAAAAAATATTTTGACAATTTAGATCTAGACCTAGATCTAGCACTAAAAATATTGATTTCTCAATAACAGTGCATTGGCAATATGAGTTCAATCGTATCAATATTATAAAAAAAAGTCCTACATTTCTGTAGTGGGCAAAATAATGATAGATTTTGTTGTGTAAAATTACTAAGACTGGTGTCTGGGCTATAATTTTGGCATCGCGATAAAACAAAGTCGAATAAACTACGAAATCGCGTTTCAAAACTGAATCTAAATTTCCGATTTTCAGTGGAAATGCTTGATCCAGAAGTTAACATTATATTATGACCTTTATTTTAACATGGATATGTGGATTGGAATAGAATCTAAGGTAAAATTGAAGATCGGTTCTCGAGCCGCCGGGGACGGCTTAGCGTACTGACGGCACTTTAGCCGCGCCGCCCCCCACGGCTCGGCGTAGCGAATGAGTCAACAGTCACCGTTCCCCGTGGGCTTCATCAAGCACTACCTCATTTGATTTCTTTTCCTTCCATGATATTCTCAGCAGTCTTCTAAGAAGCTACATTTCTGTTTTTTTTCACTGTCTTTAGTGATTGTCCGGCATTCACAGCCATATAGAAGGGTTGACCATACATAGAATTTCAGAACTTTCATTTTGGTAGTCACTGAGATGTTTCTGTTTTTCAGGATTGGGCTCATTTTATTGAAACTAGCCTTTGCCATTGCAATCCCTGATTAGTACAACAAGCCGTATATCAACATGTTGGCACCCGCCAGCCACCCACTAGCGGGGGAACGCAAAAAGAAAGAAAAGAAGAAGAGATAACATCCTGGGAATACAGAGAGACACGTCCAGTTCTACTTATCTGTATGTACCCATTTATGTACTTTGTTAACCAGCGAAATACATTGTGTATATTATTTCATTTTGTATGTGCTCATTTCGTAACGATGTCTAAATGTGCACATGTGATAAGTAAGGAGGTGTGTGTGTGTGTGTGAGCGCTCGTGCGCACACGCGTGTGTGTGTATGGCTTGCATGTGTGCGCATGTAATGTGTGCGCGAGAATGCATGAGTATGTGTGTGTGGGTGTGTTGGGGTGTGTATGTGTGTGCGTGAATATTGTTCGCACATGCATTTATATGAAACACCTAGAGCTGTGTTCACATGGGAGTGGGCCCTATAGAAATGATCTACATTATTACCATTATTATTATTATTATTGTTATCATTATTACCTGTCTCGTTCCAGGACTTGGTTGTACGACGGCGGTGGCGCGTCAATCTCAGTGGTCGGAACAGGTACGGCTGGCGGAGCGCTCGGTACAATGGGCATCATTTGCTCTGTGTCCGCGACAGTCGTTTCTGATGGATTCTGGCCATTTCTGGCAGGACAAAAGGACAAAAATCAGAGAACACTTTCTTTTGTTTGTTTGAGTAAAGAGAAGTACATCGACACAATAATGGTAATTTAGTGCTGGGAAAAAGTAAGACAGACAGTCAGAAACAGGAGAGGGGAAAGTAAAGAAGTAGAACCTACCAGTGGCCCTCCAACCACCCACACACTTTCTTTGTCCCTTCGTCCGTTTATCTACTTCTAACTTCCTGAAGTCAATGTCTCCTACAGATAAAGCAGAAAATTAGGCAAAATTCTATATATGCCAGGAGCAGGGTCCAGGAACAGTGTTTCTTTGAAGATTCAAGGGGCAGAGCCTCCTCAGAAATTCCAATTTGTGCTTTTAGAGAGTTGAAAGCGGCATTTGGGAGTCTGTTTGAAGAGACTGACAACAACCCATAAAGCTGTTGTGCCGGTGAGCCACTGGCAGCTGCTCGGGCACGTTTCTTTACGATGACTTCGATGTCAAATTACATTTCAGCAATTGTCGAAAACAGGTCTCTTTCACAGGGATTTCATTCATTAGATGAAGAACTCTCAAAATAGGTTCACTTGTTTTGATTGTAACGACCAATTTAGGACGCATATGTCACTTTAAGATTTCGTATCAAAAGAGGGCCTTGGCATAGTGGGTTTACCTCCCCTCCAAGGTAAAGAGTTAACCCCTTCACTGCCAGGTCCGAGAATTGAGTGATAGAGCAAGTCTTTAAACAAAACGCATTCCTGCTGCGTTAAAAAAAATCTTAGTTTATAGGGATAAAATCAATTCGTTGTCGGGTTGTCGGCTACTTTTTCGTTTGATTTTTGTACTTGGTATCGTTGTTCTCTCGCCACAGACGGGCATGTGTGTGTGGGGGGGGGGGGGGGGGGGGGGGGGGGGGGGCAAGGGGGAGAGTTTGGGCAATGGTGGGAGGTGTGTAGGGGTTGAGGAATGGAAGGAGGGTTGGATGGGTTGTTGGTGGGGGGAGAGGGATGAGGAGAGACGGATGGGTGGAAGACAAGATGGGGTACATATACGTGGTATATGAAACAGGAATTCGCTTACTCGTATAGCCCAACCAGAGAGATCAATTCGGGCCAGGTAAAGAAAGGGTTAAAGCCTTTCAGATCCCGCTTATGTAGCATACAAATTCAAAACTACATAAATTCTGCTTCATCTGACTCCGACATATTAAAAATACATCTGCTTTAAGAGCCGCCCAAACTACGATCACTCAAAGCACAAAGAGTCAGGGATATTTCCCTCATACTTTCTTGTTCCCCAAAGCTCAATCACGTATATTTTTCTCACAGGTTGCTGGCTATCTCAAACCCAGTTTATTATTTTTACCATTATCTATCCAATTGTCTCTAAAAATAATCTACATATCATCTAACATTTAAAAAAAACAACCCCAAAACAGTACAGAAATCTTCTACTTTTAAATGTCGGAAAAAAATGACACACACACAATCACATTTTTATCTGTCCCGTCAGTTACCAAAACTAAACACATCACAGAATTTGTATAAAGAACATTTTTGTCCAATGGCTGAACTTAATATGATTCTTAATATCTCCTACAAATGTTCTGGTTCATTTAAAGTTGAAATAAATTAACTGATATTGATTTACAGTAAAAGAAAGTATAGTCCAAATGTCCCGTCATGTGTAGTTTCCCTGGAATAGCCTTGTCCCTAAAATTTGGAACTCCTTGCCCCAGAGAAACAACAAATCAGTGACTGCTCAAAACTCATTGTTTAAGTCTTAGCTGTAGTGTGTTAGTAGGTGCTGATATATCTTGTTTTCAATGTTGCCCTTACTTGTATATAACCAATGTGTGGTTGAGAAAAATGTTCTTTCTATGGTTGGCGCTGATTTTCTTTTTAGCGTAAACCATTTTTTTTTCTTGCGTGAAGAAAGTATTATGCTCGGTGATCATGTTATTGATGTAAAGTGCTCAGAGTTTATACTTGTATGGGATAGAGGATTATAAAAATGCAATCTGCTACTATTATTATTATCATAATTATTATTATTATCATTATAATTATTATCATTAACATTGTTATTATTATCGTTATCACTATTATTTTATTATTATTATTATCATTATGATATTACATAATAATTTTGTTATTATTATTATAATTACAATCATTATCGTATTATACAATTATTGTTGTTATTACTAATTATTATTATAATTATAATAGTGATTACTATTATCGTTATAATATATCAGTGTTATTTTCATTATTTTTACTCACGAGTTGGAAAGGCCAGAAAACTGGATGCCAACCGCAGGGTCATTACGTGTTCTGCCCGCCACCTCGCCACCAGCACATCTCTGCCGTTTCCGCTTCACCACACAGAAGCCAATTACTGCGACAACCACAGCGGCTATCAGCAAACACACCACCACTGAGACTACTACAGAAACATTTGAATTTCCGTTGGAAGATAGTTTGCTCCCTGGACTTTCTGAAATGAAATAGAGATGGAGTGAATGTGACATTATGCAGGGGGGAAGGAGGGAAGGAGGGAGGGGGAGGGGGAGAGGGAGAGGGAGAGGGAGAAGGAGAGAGAGAGTGAGAGAGTGAGAGAGAGTGTAAATGTGAGATAAAGTGAGAGAGAGAGAGAGAGAGAGAGAGGGGGGGGGGGAGGGAGGGTGAGAGAAGAGAAAGATATCATCATTACTTCAGTCAATTTATCAATTAAGTAAGAGCGGTATGCTTGTTTTTGTGTGTGTGTGTGTGTGTGTGTGTGTGTGTGTGTGTGTGTGTGCGCGCGTGCGTGTGTGTGTGTGAATGTGTCTGTGAGTGAGCTTAACCAGAGCATACAAGTGTCTCATCATTGTCAATATTACTGTTGTTTTTCTTGTTTGTTTGGAAATAACAAGTTTTGCTTTTCACTGAAGACTTCAAGAAACTGATGGTAAAAAAACCCACATTTTTAATGTACAATTTTTACATCCTCACCGACACAATTTAGTTCACTAAAGAGGCAGGCTTCAACTCCACCTGTCAGAGCCAGCTAGGGCTGAGGGCATAAGTTTAGTAAGGATTTTGTTTGTTTTAGTAGAGGTTTTATGGTGCTTGCAACTGCATAAGGTCATATGAGCACCAAGGGGTGGATGTCAACAGAGAGGTCCTTACTGGGAATCAGACTTACTCTGCTCACCTCTCTAACTTCAACAGCACAAATTTGCTTAGACTATCAAGGCACCCCGGAAATAGCGGGTCACAAGAGTGTGACAAACATACAAAAGCAGTAGAGGAAAATGACGGTAGTAAGGATTAGGAAAGAAAAAGCAGCAGTTCCCTGTTGCAGTTCAGGCACAGTTATGAGCATGAAATTGATGAATCAGCCCATTTACAATTACAATTCTATTGTGCAAAACAATATGGTTAATACCCCCCCTTTAGGAATGGCCTAAAGATACTTCAGTCAGTAGCACCGCCCTGGGGGGTAGTAAGGGTTTACGGCGCTTGCAACTGCATACGGTACACGGCGTCATTTTTCGCCTGATTCTGTTACCTTTAGTTACCGTGAATCAGCAGCCCGCCGGAGCTCCCCTGGTCACGGGGTTGATGAGCCCTGAAGCGACTTTGCCGGTGTCGGTTAAGGAGTTCGCAGTTTTGTCTACCCTAGAAATTTTTTCCCCATCCCACACAGCAAACCATTACACTGATGTCCTAAAATCTCAACTCAATGTCTTGAGATTTATTCTGCATTAAAATGGTTAATTTCTGTCCTTTAGTTTTTGTTCTAGACAAGTGTTTGTAGAGTACCAAATTTGTCCTATTTTAGCTTCAAACTTATGAATAAATAATTGTTTATTTTAAAACGGCACGATAGACCTCTCCAAAATCTGTGTTAAACTGACTACGAATATCATGTCTTTTACCATGAGGAATCTTAAATCTGCGCAAGCAGTTATAGTCAAGTTATAAGAGAAGAATGATGCACATCTGCATTTTTAAACCAAAGACACTCAGCGTTAGTACTTGTTCTTCCATTAAACAAGAGAAAGTTACTCTGCTTTTGTTCATAAATCATGCTGTGTCTGTGGCAGCCTGAATATAACTAAGAAAGATATATTATGCGATTTTTAAAAAACACAAAACTGTGTAAATACGTGGGTAGAGATAAACTTCTTGTATGTAATAAAAATAATGGCACCTAACACATTCATTCTTAGTTTTTAGTTGGAAATATGCGCGGACACTTATGAACGTAAAGAAATTAGAACATTGTCAGTTATTGCAAATGGTCACAGAAACGAAAATAAAAGCTGGAAAAGTATGGTGCTGATTCAGTGTCACTGGAAAGCTATAAATTATTCTGAAAATCCAATTACGAGAAGTAATCCCTGTTATTCAGTCGACTTACAATACCTAGACTTGACGTTTTAAGAAAAGTATCGAATTTTTGTAGCACAACACTAACAGATACCGTTCGTGTATTACATTGTAGATGTATTCTGGTATTAAAATCGATTTGCGTTACTTCATAGAGAGACTAAAGGGTAATTTTTATAAACTTTTGAGAAAAAAATGCGAATATTCACGATTATATTAGATACATAAATTTATATTTAGAGGAATTACTTCATAGCGAATTGTGTGCCAGACGGATAAAGTTGAAAAATTACACCTTTCTATTATATGCGCAGATAACGTCTTTTCCGAGTATCTGCACCAAAGTTATGTCATTCATGTTCCAAACGTTTGGCAGTTTTCGTTGTGCTGTTTTTTTAAAATTGATTTTTTTTCATTCACACTCGTCCAAAACAATTTACAATTTAGCATTGACGACTTCAACGCGTCTAACTAAATAACCAAACAAGTATAATGTCCGTTCTTTTTTGAGTCTCAAGAGCAGAAACGCGTGCTTTGGATGCATTAAATGATAATTACCATATTTACAAGAGTGCACCTAAAATGGTACGTTAAAAAGTACCAAAAATTAAGTCAGCCCAGACAGAGCGGTGACAGGAAGCTGACACCTGTGCCCCCGATGTCATAAGGTGCTCGGCGGGACCCCCACCCCCCCCGGAACTAAAATTCAACTGCCGGTGCGCCATGATGAGCCCAAGGGGTGGATGTCAAAAGAGAAGTCCAAAAGGGGAATCAGGCTTTCTTTGCTCACCTTTTTAGCCTCAACAGCACAAAGTCTGCTTCGACTATCAAGGCACACCCTGGAAATAGCAATTCACAAGAGAGTGACAAACACACAAAAGAAGTAGAGGAAAAAAAGACGAGAGTAAAGTTGAGGAAAGAAAAAGCAGCAGTTCCCCCTATGTTGTTGAGGCACAGTATGAGCATGACATAGATAAATCTGCCCATTTACAATTCTAATGAGCATAAGAACATGTTAAGATATATTTGTCCATCTTTCTGTTGAGAGTACATTTTTGTATGTATGATCCAATCTGTATCAATATGGTCATAAAACATTTCCTTTCTATCAATCGACATAACATTTCACCCATTTATGGACTTATCTGTAATCAGAGAAAGTACAGTAGTCTTTTTATAACCACAATTTAAAGCTAAACGCTTCCAATTTCTCAAAGTGCTCTCTTTTCTTGCTCTGCCCTTTCCAAATAGCTCTGTCATTCAAGGTCACCTTACCGGGTGTGGGATTGATAAGCCGGCCAGCCATGAAGGAGACCTCAAACGTGCGTTGATCGGAGTAACTGGAACCTTTGAGTACAAGCAGCATATCACCGCCACTGCTGGTGAAATTTTGTCGCTGCACCGGGCCGCACAAAAGCCCAATAGATGGTGAAAATAAGTGGCTACCTGTGGGAATAAAAGGTCCTTTCATTTGCTCAATGAACAGGCAAAAGAGGAAAGATAGAAAATATCAAATAAAAACAAAAATGTGAGGCAGCGTGGTGAAAGTAAAGAAACTGGTATTTTTTCCCGCAAGTTTGGGAATTTTTAAAGTATTAATTTTGTTTTTTGGCTCAACACCTTTATGGCCATTAAAAACACATTTCTGTGGGGATTTTACAGAAAAACGCTGATAAAAGGCACAAAATAAATGTAAATTTTCAGTTTCCACAGACTCTCAAGCTAAGAAAATAACTAAACGTTGGCGGCCATTTTCATACTAATTTGACCTCTGAAACCAGGTGACCCCCACCTCCTTCAATCACCAATGTCTCAACTTGTATCCAAGATAAAAGGATTTTTTTTTCAACAAAAGCAAGGCAAATAAACAAGCTTTAAGATGACAGGAAAAGAAAAAAAGGCAAAGATGGAGATGGATTGGACATGTTTTGAGAAGAGAACCAGACTCTATTGCGAAGACTGCCCTCCACTGGACATCCGAAGGACATCGAAAGAGGGGCAGGCCCAAAGTGACCAGGAGACGCACAGTAGAGTCTGAAATGAAGTCCTGGAACCATTGTGGGGGGGCATTGACCAAGATGGCCCAAAACAGACAGAGCTGGAGATCTTTTGTTGCTGCCCTAAACGCCAGATGGTGTAACCGGTAGTAAGTAAGTAAGATGACACCAATAACTCTACATGCCCAAAAATCGACGAGCGCCTGATTCCACTGCGCCGAGACACAAACAGATAAAAATACATATACCACTTTCATTCTTACATCTCTAAAGGGGAAAAGGTTGATGGTAAAAACTTGTGACTACCTGAGGGAATAAAAGGTCTGTTCATTTGTCCCCAGAACAGGCAAAAGAGGAAAGATAGAGGGAATACAAAACAAAACAAAACTTAAAACAAGACATATGTACCATTTTCATTCTTAACCCTATCCGTAGTCATGTTTTATTATCGTATCCATACGACGTAGGGAACTCTGTGCCCCCACTTTCCAAAGAGGAAATTTAGTCGTTAATCTAATCCATATGCTTCGCATAGCAGTCTGTCAAAATGATTTTTTGAGAAATACTGAAAGTTTCAAAGAGATCTTTGCACTAGAAGTATTCCAAAGTGTGAAAAATACAACGCGTGGGGTACAAAATGACCCCAGGCGTACGGATAGGTTGAAAGGGGTACGGCTGAAAGGCTAGAACTCAGATGGCTGCTGGATTGGAAAAGTATTCTTAAAAGGAAAAAGAAAAAAAATACCACAACTACTTAATCTCCTTATTTATTTTTTGGGTAAAAGTTTCACCGCACTTGAAACACTATAAGGTCACATAAGTGCCTTAGATTAAGAGTAGATACAAGAAAGTAACAAACACAAGAAAGGAAGAGCAATGATAGATGTTTGACAGGAAAGAAGGAGCAAACCGCACCAGAGCATCCGCCAACCACCCACTATTATTTATCTCTCACAGGAAAATGGGGGGGGGGGGAGAGAGAGAGAGAGAGAGAGAGAGAGAGAGAGAGAGAGAGAGAGAGAGAGAGAGAGAGAGGGGGGGGGGGGGGAAACAAAAGCAAGAACAAGACAAACATAAAAAGTAACAGCATTCTCCCATTCTACACAATTGTAGTCAAACTGAGGAGTTGAGACACTCGGGATGAATCTTTTCATTTGTTTCAGTAAGAGTTTTACGTAACTTGAAACACAATTAGGTCATATTGGTGGATAAGAGGTGCAACAAGAGAGTTAACAAAAACATAAAAGAAAGAGGGACAAGGATGATAGATGTTAGATAGGAGAAAGAAGGGGCAAACCACACCAGAGCACCCTCCAACCACCCACCGGTATGCATCTCCACCACATATGGTACATTTTTTAATGAAGTGGAAATCATGGTGCACCACAGAGCATAGAGCAGGGGGCTCTCGAGGTCTAGAGGTTAAGGGAAGACTCGGGTCGGCGATCCAAGGCAATATCGGTACAATTTTTCAAACTATCCAACTTTTGCTTTTTGCGGAAAAACATCCTTTGACATCTGTTCTATCGAGTCAAATGAAGAAACTGTTGAAAAAAACACCCTAAATGACCTAAAAGGGCGTTTGAAAAATGCAAATTGCTCTAAAAATCCTTTAAAAAATCCTTGTTTTTTCTGTTTTTCTCAAAATCTACTTTTTGACATATGTGACCTCCTGAGTGCAACGAGTTTTCAAAAACTACAGAATCTAGAAGCTTCAAATTTGGTGTACAGGTGCTTTAAGATCGATTCTGGGGATCTATGAAAGGGAATTGGGAAATATTGGTAACTTAAGGAAATATTCAAATTTTTTGTAATATGTACCCCGAAATTTCGTCAACTGACTCTAGGGGGTCCAATGACTTTGGGCTCACTTTTTTAGTTTTAAAGATAAGTCAAAATCCTTTCATGGATCCCCAGTTCATATAGGTTTGTACTTGTGTGCCAAATTTCAGGCTGATAATTCAATATTTACTATAAAATTCTTCTGCACTAAGAAACTGGTTTGAAAATCCAAGATGGCCACCACAGAGACCCATTTTTAGAAAAATTCAACAAATTCACCCCTAGTTCATCCTATTTACCTATGAACTTCTTGCACAATTACATGAAATTGAATGAAAGTCATTCGTTTTTAAATTTTTTCAGGTGTTCACCGCTCGTTCAAAAGGTCACAGGTTCGAAACCTGACAGCAATGGAACATTTTCTTCTCTAAAACGTTCTGCTTTCACCTCCATTCCTGCTCTCTAACAATGTTCTGTCGTCTGCTTTCGTCTCCACTTTCAGCCCCCACCCCCTCCTCATTTTCCCCCTCCTCTGGGCTCCTGACTCTGTCTGCAGCCCTTCTACTGCTACTCCTTGGCTCCTTCTTACTACTGTCTTTCAGCCACATCCCTGATCTTAGGGTAGGTTAAGGTAAGACCAAACACCTAGCCTTCTCGGATAAAGGCGAAAAATCTTGGAGCTTCCTAGAGCAAGTTGCGCTTGTTAAAGATCCTTTGATAGTCTAAAATCGATAAGAGTAGGCTTCGGCTGCCATCTGGGCAAAACTCGAAATTAATTCCTCCCAAACTGAAAATGTTGACTGTGTCCGCGCGCTCATATGGCCTTATGTAGCCGCAGGTGCCGTAAAACAATTACCAAAAAAAAAAAAAAAAAGAGCATAGAGAAATAAAACTACAACAGACTTATTGTCGCTGCCGCAAGCAATCCACAAGTGCAAATTTTTTGAAAATCTTCCATTCTTACCCCCCCCCCCCCAAAGCTCGATCAAAGGAGCACCTTTCAACATCACCAAAATGCAGTTTAATGCTACGATCAAGGCATACAATTTTCTTGTTTTTCATGATTCCTGATAGGAACAATACAACAAAAATTAGCTTTTTTTGTCTCTGGTATAAAGTGCACCCAACCAGACCTAAGTGGATTGCTTGCAACAGTGATGATATGATATTTCCAACAATACATTTTAAGACTATGCCAGGGCCCTTTTTTGGTACGGTATCTAAAAGCGACAAATACGTCAAAACAAATGAACCTATTTTGATAGTTCTTCATCAAATAAAAGAACTTCTGGTAAAAGACACCTATTTTCGACAATTGCCTAAAGCTAATTTGTGAGGCATCGTGGTGAGATCAGGCACTCGTCAAAACAATGAAAGCCGAAAAATCCACATTTTCCGGCCAGTTTGGACATTTTTTTCAAATTTTTGTTTTTTGGCTCTACACCTTATATGTACATTCAAAAACACTTTAATGTGTGGATTTTATGGAAAACGTTTAAAGGCACAAAAAATGTAAATTTGCAGTATCCAAGGACTCTAAAGCTATGGAAGTCACCAAACTTTGGCATGCAATTTTTTTGCTAATTTTACTTCTGAAACCTGAACTTGCGATCCCGCCTCTTTCAATCCCAAATATCAGCTATCGACTATTGTGCCCATGCCTACATGCTTCTTGCCAAACCCTCCAATCTGCAGAAACTGGAAAGAAAGCAGAATGAAGCAGCAAGAATCATCACGGGCTGCTCAAAGGATACTCGTGTGGACAGCCTCCTCATCCAAGCAGACATTTTACCACTAAGGCATAGAGCTGATGCCTTGACTGCCATCTCACTCTAGAAGTCCATGCCCTGCCTACAATGAACCAACGCAGAGCCTCCGCAATAAAATCAGTGCCCACGTGGACAGGCAAGTCCAACTGGAGAAAGAATGCCCAGAACCTCGTAGCCGAAGCTGAACTGGATACGTACCCACGTGAGGAGCTGGTTGTTTTACCCCCCACACAACCGTGGAAGGCTGCATCATACAACGTGACTTTTAGCACCGATCTTGTCGTCGACTGCAAGCATGCTAATGAACCAGCTGTCAGGAAAGCAGCAGCAGAGGCTACAATTCGATTGCTCCCCCTGCCTGATGTAGAAGTCTGGACTGATGGTTCAGTTAAGCACGGTACTGAGTATGGAGGAAGTGGAATACTGATCAAGACCGGTGCTACTGAACTCGACCAACGTGTACCCGCGGGCCGGTATTGTTCCAGCTACAGGGCCAAGCTTGTAGCTCTCGACACAGCGCTGGACATGCTGGTGGCACTACATACAGCAGGCAGCCTTCTGAACAGTGTACGCATCAATGTATAAACTGATTCTAGGTCAGCGGTCATGCGCCTCTCATACGGCCCTACCAACCAATCGGAAAAGGTGGCGTGCTCAATCTGGCAGCATCTGCACACCCTCTGTCAATGCTCTGAAAGATCCACCCACTTACAGTGGATTCCAGGCCACGCTGGACTGGCTGGGAACGAGGAAGTTGACAGCATCGCCAAAGAAGCAACAGCGCATACCCAGATTGACACGCCAATCAATTTCTCGACAGCTAAAGCCGTCATCCACCGATCTACCCGCGCAAAGTGGAAGAGAGAGGCGAAACCCAAACTGCCGTTAGCCCAACCGCCATCATACCAGCTTGAGGCCACGCTCAGACGACAGGACCGCCGGCTTCTCTCCCAAATGAGAACTGGTGGAAAATCGCCCAAGCTGAGATCATATCTCCACAAAATTGCGCCAGCAGACAACCCAGATCAGTCCTGTCGAGCCTGCAAGAAGGAGGACGAAACTATGGACCATGTGTTCCTGAGATGTCCCGCCAGCTATCGTGCCAGAACCCGTCTCCTGGGACATTTCAGTCCCCCACTTTCAGCACTTTTAAGGACCCCCTGGCAAGTGTTGAGTTCCTGCGTGCTGTCGGCATCGCTGACGGTTTATGAAGCCACAGCGCCAGGAGAGAGAGAATCGCAAATATCTCGACTTCAATTTAAGATAAAAGGACATTTTTCATAGAAAGCAAGGCAAATGAATAACTCTTAAGACGATACCAAAGACTCCATATGCCCAAAAATTGATGAGTAACTGATTCCACTGCACCATGACACATTTAATGTTGAAGTCGTCGAAAACGAATGTGTGCAAGCTGCTGCCAGCAGCTAACTGGCCCAGTGGCTCCGACCGCGAGTCGTTGGGAATGGCTTGCCGGAGATAAAAGAATTAAGGAACATTACAGAATGGCAGCAGGCTGCACTTACCACTTAATGTCACTGGACAGAAATATGGAGAGAACAGCTATTACTGGATCCATAAGAACAACTTGTTTGTTTATTTGTTTGAGCAAATAAAAGCACATCGACACAATAATGGGTATCTAGTGCTGGGAACATGAAAACCAGACAGACAGAAACAACAGAGAGAAAGTAAAGAAGAAGGACCTACCAGCGGCACACTCCAACCGCCTAAATTACAACAACAACAACAATGACGACAACAACAACAACAAAAACAGCAACAAAGCAAACACTGACCATCATAAACCTGCAGGTACTCGTCACCACAGTTATTGGTACTCATAGCGACTCTCTCTATCGTGACCACCACATGGTGATTCGGAGGGGCGTACAGGAGCCACGAGCACTCATCTATGCTGAAAGGGAAACATGCGCACGCACAAATTGAAATTGTATAATGTTTTACTAAGTGGAAAGATATAGATAATATTTATTAGAAAAAACAACAACAACCCAATTCCCCCCCCCCCCCCCCCCCTCCACGTACCACTTAAACAATACAATCACTTTTATTCTTAAAAAAGGGAAAAGAAAAAAAAAATCACACTATCACTTATCTCCTTTAATTTTTTAGTAAGAGTTTTACAGCACTTGCAACACAATAAGGTCATATAAGTGCTGAAGGTTAGAGGTGTTACAAGAGAGTAACAAACACAAAAAAGGAGGAGAGATAAGGATGATAGACGCTTGATAGGAAAAAGGGAGTAAACCACTCCAGAGCACCCATCAAACACCCAGACAATGGAACAATGGAAATTGGAGGAAGCAAGGTTTTATTGAAGACCCATTAAATATTTAGCTGTTTGACCTTCATTCTCTAAAAAGAGACAACATTGCAGCTTCTTTCGTGATGATTACTTTACTTCATACTTCAAACTTTCATCTCCCCATCACTTTTTACCCATAGTTTTTAATTACACCAAATAGTTGGATTATTTTAAAGCTATAAAACAATGAAAGTAAGAAGCCTTCTGTCAATCCTGTCTCTGAATAACATTTTTTTTGTTCAGTTGAAAAATTTCTGTCTTACAATTGAAAAAAAAAAGATAATTTTTTGGTTATGGGTCACGACGCGGTGGAACCAGGCGCTCATCAATTTTGGGGGATATAGAGTTATTGGAATCATCTTAAATCCTGTCCATTTGCCTCGTATTTTAAGAAAAAAATATCCATTTATCTAGGATACAACTCAAGACATTGGCAATTGGAAGGAGGTGCCTGATTTCTGAGGTAAAATTGGCGAGAAAATGGCCGCCAAACTTGAGTTATTTCCTTAGTCTGAAAGTCCGTGGAAACTGAAAATTTACATTGTTCATGCCTTTAATCAACATTTTTCAGTAAAATCCAACAGCAAAGTGTTCTATAATGTTCATGAAAGGTTTTGAGCCAAAAAACAAAAATCCAATAAAAATTTCCAAACCTGTGGAAAAATGACAGTTCCTTGACTTTATTCATTTTGACAAGCGCCTGATTTCACCACACTGCCTCACAGTCATAAACAGAGATATGGGGGGCTCTCGTGGCCTAGAGGTCAAGGTGTTCGCCTCTCATTCAAAAGTCCAGGGTTCGAATCCCGGTAGCGATGGAAAAATTTTCTTCCCTAAATTTATCTCCTTTCACCTCTCTAGAAATGTTCTGTCGCCTGCTTTCATCTCCACTTTCGGCCCCTTCCCTCTCACCTCCTTTGCTCCCTACACAGGGCTCCTGACTCATTTTCCAGCCTTTCTACTGCTACTCTTTGGCTTCTTCGTACTGCTGTCTTTCAGCCACACCCCTGATCTTCTGGTAAGAAAGATCTACACCTAGCCTTCTCGGACAAAGGAGAAAAATCTCGCAGGTCCCATGTGCAAGTTGCTCACGTTAAAGATCCCTTGGTGGTCTAAAATCGATAAGAGTAGGCTTCAGCCGCCACAGGGGCAAAATTCAAAATTTCCTACCAATTGAAAATGTGTAATGTGTCCCGTGAGCCCATATGACCTTACGCAGTTGCGAGCCCTGTCAAATACTTTCTTAAAAACCCCCACAAAAACCCCCCAGAGAGATGGAGAAATTCTCCTCACTTAAAAATCAAATTCAGGTCTTCTGTGAATAAAGGCAAAATGCCTCACTGCTACACTACCGCTGTCTGTTCTTTAGCTGGGGACAGAATTCAGAAGAACAAAGATAACAACAGTTGACATTTCGCTACCTCAGAATTATACAGTTTTATCCTGCTCAGTATCTGGTTTTGAGAAATTTGATGTCAAAGATTTTAAGCTTCACATTACGTTAAGCTTTTTCGTATGCAATTCTCTGAATATCTTGATAACGACTCCGAATAGTCTTATGATTTGGATAGAGCAGATAGAACATCTGGTATCTGACCTCATGGTCGTAGTAGCTCAAAACGGCCAAAAATGTCAGATAGAACTTTGTAATTCAGAGGTAGCGAGTTATTGACTTTGTCTTTAAAAAGAGAAGGAACTACAATTGAAATTGTCCAAGACAGCCGCCCTTTGTTTGAGGAGAAAAGGGGTTGTCTTGGACAAGGTCATTAAAATACATGAAGAAAAAGCAGGAAGAGGTCGTTTGTACAGGTGATTGTCTCAGACAGATGGTTGTTGGAGCAGGTTGGTCTAGTGGTTAGGCTCTCAGAGTAAGGTCGTGGGTTCAAATCTCGTCAGGGATCCGACGTTGTATCCTTGGGAAAGACGCTTTTCACGAATTTTCAACACTTCATCCAGGGGAGAATGGGTACCCAGCTATAGACAGTGAAAGATCTTGTCAGTTTGGTAGTGTTTGAGTGCTTAATCACTGCTTGCACTGTATACTTCCCGAGAAGCTGAGAATGTTTCTGAGTGTTCTGTGGTCTGCTGGGGTAATAATATTACAGTGTAAAGTGCATAGAGCTTGCTGTAGAGTGGGATTATGTGCTATACAAATGCTATTAAAATTTATTATTATTATTATTACCTCATTGGGCTGGGCAGTTTGATATACTGTTTGGTCTTTGTCACGCCCACTGCCACAAAGGCTGGGCACTCAGAACCTGTGGGAGTAATCAAACGGAGGGATAGAGGAAAGGAGAAAGTGAGAGAAGGATGGACGGACGGAGGAAAGGAAGGAGCGAGGGATGGAGGAAGGGAAGGAGGAAGGGAGAGAGGGAGGGGAGAGAGAGAGAGAGAGAGAGAGAGGGAGAGATGGAAGGGGGGGGGGGGGGGGTGGGAGTGAGTGAATGAATCGGGAGCGTAGGTGAGTGAGTGTGTTTGAGTGAGGAGTGTGAGAGTGAGAAGCCTTTCTGTTTTTATATTGATAAGATGAATATTTAGAGAGATTTCCTTTTGGTCAGAACACCACCTTTTATGTTCCTGTAGTATTGCATTGTAAAGTGCTTGGAGCCTGTGTACTTTAATCGGGGTTGAGCACTATACAAATGTTATTTATTATTATTACTATTATCATTATTATTATTAATGAGTCAGCGAGGGTAAATGACATAGTGTGTGTGAACGTGTGTGCGTGTGTATGTATGTGAGAGTGAGGAGTTTGTGTGTGTGTGTGTGTGTGTGTGTGTGTGTGTGTGTGTGTGAGTGTGTGTCAGCCCATTTACAATTCTACTGTGCAAAAGAACATGTTAATATTCCCCCTTTGGGAATGGCCTTAAGGCAACTTCAATCAGTAGCACTGCCCTGGTGGGGGGTCAGGGTCTTTAGCCTTAGCAATACTCTACTTCGCAAATTAGTTTGTGTGTGTGTGTGTGTGTGTGTGAGTGTGTCAGCCGATTTACAATTCTACTGTGCATAAGAACATGTTAATATTCCCCCTTTGGGAATGGCCTAAAGACAATTTCAATCAGAAGCACTGCCCTGGTGGGGGGTCGGGGTCTTTAGCCTTAGCAATACTCTCCTTCGCAAATTTTGATATCATAACTGTAACTCAACCATAGACAAAAGCCATACAATAGTCTCAGATAAAAGCCCCGCATGCTCATATGACCTTATGCTCTTGCGAGTGCCATAAAACACTTTTAAAAAACAAAAAGCGCCAACCAAAAGTCTTGAACAGAAGCCAGCAAATAGTTTAACTAAATAGTGAGCTTACTAGAAAAATCGCCAGTGTCCAAGGAAATGGCCACATAGGAGAACTTGACTAAACGTTGACCCGAACCAGAACCTATCAGTACAACCAGCACGTCTTGGCCCGAACTGATGAAACTTCGCTCCATTGTTGAGAAGCATACAGACACTAACCTTGGGCTTGAAACCTGATCTCCTGTGAAGTAAGCAAAAGTCAGATGTACAATACAATACTTGAATATAGTCAGAGCATGCACCTAACAAGGAGATGAAATGTTCCATGTCCAGTTGGAGGCCTACATAATTTTCTTTCGTTCTAAAGTAATTCTTTTTTTTTAAAGCTCTAAAACAGCATATTATATAGAGAGCATGTAATGTTAGAGACCTTGTCAAAATAGTTTAGATAATACACAATCTAGAAGAAACTAGCTTGCACTGAGCGTCACTGTAAAGTTGTCTGTACCTAACAAAGTGCAAGGTTGAATGTTTCCTGCGGTTACAAAAAAATAGAAGAATCAGCTTGCTGGCCATGAGAGTTACTGTAAAGTCGAGTGTGAACGGTAGTTGTATGTACCTGACAGTCTGTAGTTAAAGTATAAGTCTTATGCCACTTGCAACACAATAAGGTCATACAAGTTTCAAAGATTAGAGGTGTTACTAGAGAGTAACAAAAGACAAAACAGAAGGAGGAGGGAAAAGGACAACAAATGTTTGAAAGGAAAGAAGAAATCCACACCAGAGCACCCACAAACCACCCACCACGTAACAGTGTACAACGTGAATGTCCCCAGTAGTTTTAGATGAATAAAATAGAATCAATTGGCTAACAATGACAGCTGCTGTAAAGTTGTGTGCCTCTCTCATTACAGGGGACTCATCAGGACAAAACAAAATCCCACTTTATTTTTAATTTATAACTACAGAGGAATTTTCCTTAAAAGCCTTTCTTCTTAAACAGTCCATTCCTTTTTCAATGCAAATGTCAAAATAGTTAGTAGTTTTTAAGCAAACAGAACAGCACACTTGTGTTACCACCCGACAGAGCAGGGGGATATCAAACACCTCAAATTCCAGCAATTCTGGATCACAGGAAGTCAAAAAACAAGAGACAAAAAAGTAAATAAATTTTTAATGTCTCTTCTTGAAAAGTTTAAAAGTGATCCCTCAAAACAATGTCCTAACATTGTTTGATTCAAATAATTTTCAACCCTATCCTCCACCACGCTATGAGACAGTATTCCACACAACGTTCAATCTTCGACCTACACACTTTCCAAATGTTTGTTATTGTTTACAGGGGTGATAGTCATTTTCGCATAACCATGGAATAGAACATGGCCAACAGCCATTCATACTTTTATGTTTAGTTTCAGTAAGTTTTAAGGCACATATTATAATAATAATAATAAAAATGATAATAATAATAATAATAATAAAAATACTAATAAAAATAAGTGCTTCATAATAAGATAAGATTTTAATAATCGTTTCACTCACGCTGGCCAATTCCGGGTACAATAATTCTTTCAAATACATAAATCTGTAATCTGACAAAGAATATACATACATGAAAAGAAAATCACAAAGGCTACATGCAACACAATCAGGTCATATGTGAGGCATCATGGTGAAATCAGGGGCTCGTCAAAATGGTGAAATTAAAGAAATCTGTATTTTTCTGGTCATTTGCCAATTTTTTAAAAAAATTCTTTTTTTTTGGCTCAACACTTTTTATGTCCTTTTCACGGCGTCACTTTTCGCCTGATTCTGTTACCTTTAGTTAGCCCGACTCAGCAGCCCGCCGGAGCTCCCCCGGCTCACGGGGTTAATGAGCCCTGAAGCGACTTTGTTGGTTAGGACATTCGCATTTTTGACTATGTTTAAAAACGATATAACTTCTTCCCCATCCCACACTGCAAACCATTACGGGGATGTACTAAAAGCTCAATGTCTTGAGATTTATTCTGCGTTAGAATGGTTAATTTCTGTGCCTCAGTTTTTGTTCTAGACAAGTGTTTGTAGAGTACCCATTTTGTCCTATTTTAGTTTCAAACTTATGAATAAATGATTGTTAATTTATAAAAGGCACGACAGATCTCTCCAAAATCTGCGTTAAACTGACTATGAATATCATGTCTTTTACCATGAGAAATCTTAAATCTGCGCGATAAGTAATAGTCAAGTTATAAGAGAAGAAAGATGCACATCTGCATTTTTTAACTAAAGACGATCAGCGTTAGCTCTTATTTTACTATTAAACAAGAGAAAGTTACTCTGCATTTGTTCATGAATCATGCTGTGTCTGTGGCAGTCTGCATACAACTATAAAAAAATAATATAAGCGACCCTTCTTCCTTCAATTGCAAATATCCCAATTGCTATTAAAGATTAATGGGTATTCGGTCGTTGAAAGCAAGGCAAATGAACAAGCTTTATACCAATAACTACATACGTCCAAAAAACTGACAAGCACTAGATTTCACAGCATCAAGACACGTATAAGTGATGGAGATGAGAGATGTCACTAGATGGTACAATACAAGGAAAACAAGGTAGAGAGATAAGAACAATAGATGTTTGATAGGAAAGAAGGAGAAAACTACACCAGAGCCCCCACAAACCACCCTACCGCATGTTTGATATATAAACGAACATGAAGAAAAGTGTTGCAACTTAATCTCAAACTTTATACAACAATTGAAGAAAACTGACAAAAATAAGTGATGTAAATCATTACTAAAATCAATCAATCAAGGCAAAATGCTACACCCTGACCACTTTTTAATTATTCGTCTTCTTCATATTTTCTTTCACTATCCTAGAATCCTAGCATTTTGATACATGTCACTATGGAAACAATCACATAAAAGCATGACATCAGACACTGACCATGGAAACAACCACATAAAAATACGACATCAGACACTGACCATGGAAAATTGCCATGGAAACAACCACATAAAAATACGACATCAGACACTGACCATCACAACAAATTTCCATGGAAAACCACACAAAAATGCGACATCAGACACTGACCATGGAAAATTGCCATGGAAACAACCACAGTGGAAACCTGATATAACAGGGATGGAGGGAGTAGAGAAAATGTCCTGTTATATCCGATCCCTGTTAAATCAGAAATGCAAGGAAAGTAAGCTTTTGCGGACTAATATAGCTGTACTTATTCATGGGTAGTTTCCCGTGCCACAAGTACCCACAAACAGGGGTTTTGGCACTAACTTTCTCCTTGTCTCCTAAAACCACATCAGAAGAGCTTGGTCCACAGCATCTGCATCGAGTAGTCTCAACTTCTTTCGATCCAGAGCAAACTTTCCATTGGAGTATGCTGCTACTATCTTCTCTCTATCCTTGATAATGATGTGAATCGACCCTTGTGGAATGTCGAACTGACGACAAATCTCTGCAAGTGGAGCTTGCTTTTTGTCAACAACCTGGATTATTTTGTATTTTTTGTCAATTGAAAGGCATTTTCTCTTGCGCTTGACATCGTTGGCGACACATTACGCGTGCGTGTTGCTAGGTTTCGGGCTACATCGAGGTCTGCAGCACACCGCAGCCCTCTCTCGCTTCACACTCTGCGTGTGCTTGCAGTGGCATGGCTTTCATGGGCTTGCTCCATCACTGCGTTACTCTCTCTCACTCTCTCTCTCTTACTTTTTACACATTGTTAACGAGCCTTTGTCCCTGCTATAACCGGTTGGGCTCCGATGAGGCCCTGTTATTTCCGAAAACTTTTAATATAGAGAAAGAGAAGGAAAAAACAGGGATTTAAAAAATCCCCGTTATTACCGGATCCCTGTTATTACCGGGCCTGTTGTATATGGTTTCCACTGCACATAAAAACAAGACATCAGACACTGACCATGGAAAATTGCCATGGAAACAACCACATAAAAATACGACATCAGACACTGACCATCACAACAAGTTTCCATGGAAACCACCACACAAAAACATGTCACCAAACACTGACCACCACCACAGGTTTCCAAGGAAACAACCACACAAACATATGACATCAGACACCGATCATCACAAATTTCCATGGAGACAACCACACAAAAATACGAAATCAGATACTGACCATCATAGAATTCCAGCGACTCTTCAGTGCAGGACATCCCTGTGTTCAGCGAGATTACGTTGAAGCTCACACGCACTCGATGACCCACGGCCACATGCAGCAGCCACTTACATTTGTTTATGCTAGAAATTAAGACAACCCAAAGGAAAGTGTTTTATAATTTTATAATTTTTTTCTTTGGGGGGAGGGGGGGGGAGAGTGGTGGTTGAAAATAAGGCCTCACAGAGTTTCCACATAATAATAAATATCAATAATAATAATAATAATAATAATAATAACAATGATAGTAATGATAATAATAATAACAATAATAATAATAATAATATTTATAGTAATAATAAAAATAATAATGATACTAAAACTAATAATGATAATAATAATAATAACAATAGTCCTTCCATCATTTAACATCCAAGGAAGAAAAGAAAATATAGACCCCGCTAGCTACTGCGGAGAGGTACGTAAATGAAATGGCAGCAAGCAGCTTGTAATGATCTGAAACACTACAGCCCTCCCACCAGGGCAGTGCTACTGACTGAAGCTGTCTTTAGGCCGTTTCCAAAGCGGAAATATTAACATGTTCTTATGCACAGTAGAATTGTAAACGTACTGTTTGATCAATTTATCAATGTCATACTCATACTGTGGCGAAACAACATAGAGGGAACTACTGCTTTTTCTTTCCTCATCCTTACTTCCGTCATTTGTCCTCTACTTCTTTAGTATGTTTGTCACTCTGGTTTGCGATCTGCTATTTCCAGGGTGCCTTGATAGTCAAAGCAGACTTTGTGCTGTTGAGGCTAGAGAGGGGAGCAGATTAAGCCTGATTTCCCCATCTGGAGTTCTCCGTTAGACATTCACCCCTTGGTGCTCATATGACCGTAGGCAGTTGCGAGCGCCGTAAAACCTCTACTAAAACAATAAAATGACAACTCCTTGCACATGGCAGAGCCTCTCCTTTTCCTAGAGTGGTGTGCTTATCTACCTTAACATATGTGAGGCATCGTGGGGAAATCAGGTGCTCATCAAAATAATGACATTGAACGAAACAATATTTTTCTGCAGATAAGGGAATTTTTAATCAAATTTTTGTTTTTCGGCACATTGCCTTTATCAATATGTCCATTTAAAAACATATGTCTGTGGATTTTAAATAAAAACGGTGAATTTTCAGTTTCAAAGGACTCTCAAGCTATTGAAGTCGCCCAACTTTGGCGGCCAATTTCTTGCTAATTTTACTACTGGAACCAGTTAACCTCCATCTCCTTCAATCACAAAAATCTCGACTTCTATTCAAGATATATAAGTATTTTTTCATTGAAAGCAAAACAAATATACAAGCTTTAAAATGATACCAATAACTCCACATGCCCAAAAATTGATGAGCGCCTGATTTCACCATGATGGTTATTTAATTAAACCTTTTTATGGCTTCCACATAATCTATTAAAAAACACCTAAAACTACAGAGTCCAGCTGGAAAATCACACACCAGAGTGAGTGGTTCCAATGAGCTCAGAAAAAATCTACACAGTTCGTGCAAACATAAAGATTCTGACATCTTGCTACTTCAAAATTACAAAGTTCTATATGACATTTTTGGTCATTTTGGTTTACTAAGACCATGACGTCAGAAACCAAATGTTCTATCAGCTCTATCAAAATCGTAGGATTGTTCAGAGTCGTTATCAAGATATTCAAATAATTGCATTCCAAAGAGCTTGACATGTTGTGAAACTCAAATTTTTCAACGTCAAATTTCTCAAAACTAGGTACTGAGCAGATAGAACTTTGTAATTCTGAGGTAGTGATCTGTCAAAACTATCACTAGACAGTATCACAGCGGGAGCATACAACCAGAGATCAGATTGATACAGAGAAAGAGGCAGGCTGAGGAAACAAAGCGTTAACTCATTAACAGCGACTTTATACCAACACTGTGCTACCAAGCCCTCACATGGACAATAAACAAGAATCACCAAAATAAAATAAATGCCTGTGAAATGAGATGCCTAGGAAAAGCTTTGAACAAGACCAGAAGAGACAGAATGAGAAACGAGATAGTCAGAGAACAAGTTGGCTCGACTCCCTGCTTGGAGTGTAAAGACGAAAAAACGAGAATGAAATGATTCTGACATCTGTCAAAACTAACACTAGTCAGTGAGAGCATATAACCAGAGAGCAGATGGAAACAGATAGAGAGGCAGGCCCAGGAAAAGATGGAGAAAGGGAATTAGAAAAACATTAAACAGAAAAAATATGACCAAGCAACAGGTGACACTACAAACAAGAGAATAACAATTGCTTCTTCCCTCCACACCATGATGTAGCAGAGCACCTGGATAAGTAAAAAGCAAGTAAAGATGATACAAAATGTATGGCAACACCAGCACCAGTTTCTGTCAGAGTTGTAATGAAAGAAGTAGCATTTTTCATTATAGCAATAACAAATTCTAAGAGAAGTGCATATTGTCATTGTCACAAGTAATTCACTCAAGTCCAAATTTTGAGAATTTTCACACCCTCCCAAAGCTCTATCAAAGATGTACCATTCAACATCACCAAAATGTAGTTTACTGCTCTGGTTAAGGTTTACAATTTTCTTTCTTTTCACGATTCCTTGTAGGAACAACACAACAAAAACTAGTTTCTTTGTCTCCGGTGTAAAAAGTACCCCTCAAAAAAATTAAATAGATGGAGCAGCAAGTTTATTTGAAAATATGCACACGTTAGCATTTTCAGATAAAAAAGATAGGCTTCAAGCTGTAAGCGAGTATTACCCATCAAAATGTCCATAAAAGAATGAAGATTTCATATAAATTATGAAGGTGGAGTTGTAGTGCAGACAAGCAGACATTTCAGATTCATGCTGAAAAAGAAGCGAAAACAATAATGCAGCATCTAGTCATGCATGCCGACTTCCAAGGGTTAAAGAACTTACTTCATGCTGCTTCTCAGGATAATGATTTGTTCTGTTGTCGTTACACCCACTGTGTCAAAAGTTGGGCAACTGGAATCTGAGGAAAACATCAGCCTTCAGATGATACCAATAATTCCACATTCCCAAAAACTGACGAGCGCCTGATTCCACCTCGTCGAGACACATAATATATAAAAGCCTCTGCATAACATACTCGACTTAAAATGTATTCTCGACCATGAGGTTCCCTTTATGAAGTCCTGAGTCCCATTTAATATTTTTACTCTTTTAAAAGCCATGTCTACAAAGAACTACCTAAAACATAATTTCGGAAATCATCATCCAGTGCCAGATCTGCGACAGACATCGGCGATCATGGTTTTCCATTCATTCCTTTGCTCGGATGCTCTCAAAAAAACTACGTTTCCCTGATCTTTCCCTGTTATCCATTTGTTTAGGTTCCCTAAGTATGTTGTTCTGGGCTTACCCCTGCCTCGTTTGCCCTCAATTTCGGATATAATGTTCACTTTTCAAGTGATTTTAGTGAAGGATAGTCTGCTTACAACGAACAATGTACATTGTGAGAATAAACAAAAATGGCAAAAGGCCGTAAGGTAGATTTACTGTACTCAGGAATGCAGTGTAATCAGCCACAGTGAGATGGTAACCCAAGATGGAATAAGACAAGACGAGACAACTCTTCTTTACGTCATGTGACAAGCGCAGACCCCTCCCACTTTGCCAGCTGCGCGTATAACTCGCTGGGCTGGCGATAGTTTACATTGGATACCGTACTGCTGATCAACTTCGACAGTTCTGTTGCATGCACTAGTACTATAATTTAGCCCTGCGAGAGAGCGATATAGATAGATAGATAGATAGGTAGATAGATTGATAGATAATCTGGATAGATAGATAGACATTAGTTTGAACAGCGATGGAAAAAATTCCTGCACGCTGTGTTGAGGATGATGGCCTTGTGGAATTGAAAAAATATAAAAGATCATTGTTTGAAACAATCAGCCAATAACTAGAAAGCCCCTCCCCCCCCCCTCACATAATTGCATTTATAGAGCACATATCCACGTTCTACAGCATGGTCTATGCATTTTACAACTATCATTACCACAGCAGCAGCAGACTGTAAAAGGAACAGCGAATAACAACCCCCCCCCACACACACACAACTAAGGAAATTAACTCACATGTAACGTCCTCAAGAATAACATGAACGTCAACCTTCTTCTCCTCATAATCGTTGGATAGAACATGTTTGTACTCTCCTCCAATGGCAAAGTATTCCCTGTAAAAGAAACAAACATCGCGTTATAGAGTTAGTTCATCCAAACGATAAGCAATGAATAATAATGAAATCTTAATAATAATAACTGCATTCATATAGAGCATATCCACACTCCGCAGCATTTTTCATGCATTTTACAACTATCATTACCCCAGCAGCAGCAGACCTTAGAACATTCAGAAGCATTCTCAGCTTCCCGGGAAGCATACAGTGCAAGTTGCAGATTGAACCCGCTCAAACACTTACAAATGGACAAGATCTTTTGCAGTCTATAACCGGGTATCCATTCCCACCTGGGTGAAGTGAGGAATGTTCATGTACAGTGCCTTTCCCACGGACACAACATCGAGTCCCAGACGGGATTTGAACCCACCGCCTCACAGTTGTGAGTCTGAGAGCCTAACTTTTAAGCCACCAATGCCACAATCTTATGCTACGTCATCAGTCAAAATGTGATGTCTCTCGTTAAATATTTCAACGCAACATACTGGGCAAGGAAATTGATACTTAAAATGAGGGTGTCCTTGACTCCAATTGGTCACAAAAAAAAAGGTTGCATTTTATACAATCGAAATCATGTATGTTTATGCTTTAATTTTTTAAATCAATTTTTGTTACTTTGCTGTGGATAACCCAGTCACCACATCACTATCAGCTGGTGCAATGAACGTGTGTCACCATCTGCTGGTGTAATGAGCGTGTGCGTGCGTGTCATTATCTGCTGGTGTATTGAGAGTGTGTGCATGTGTCACCATCTGCTGGTATAATGTGCGTGTGTCACCATCTGCTGGTATTAAGTGCGTGTGTCACCATCTGCTGGTGTAATGTGCGTGTGTCACCATCTGCTGGTATAATGTGTGTGTGTCATTATCTGCTGGTATTAAGCGCATGTGTCACCATCTGCTGGGGTAATGTGCAAGTGTCACTGTCTGCTAGTGTAATGTGTGTGTGTCACTATCCGCTGGTATTAAGTGCGTGTGTCACCATCTGCTGGTGTAATGTGCATGTGTCACTGTCTGCTAGTGTAATGTGTGTGTGTCACTATCCGCTGGTGTAATGTGTGTGTGTCACTGTCTGCTGGTATAATGTGTGTGTGTCACTGTCTGCTGGTATAATGTGTGTGTGTCACTATCCGCTGGTGTAATGTGTGTGTGTCACTGTCTGCTGGTATAATGTGCGTGTGTCACTGTCTGCTGGTATAATGTGCGTGTGTCACTGTCTGCTGGTATAATGTGTGTGTGTCACTGTCTGCTGGTATTAAGTGCGTGTGTCACTGTCTGCTGGTATAATGTGTGTGTGTCACCATCTGCTGGTGTAATGAGCGTTTAGTTTAGAAAGTTTAAGTGTTTTACGGAACTTGCAACACAATAAGGTCATTTAAGTGCAGAAGATTAGAGGTGTTGCAAGAGAGTAACAAACACAAAATTGAAGGAGGGGAGATAAGGACGATAGATGTTTGATAGGAAAGAAGGAGCTAACCACGCCAGAGCACCCGCCAACCACCCACTATCTGCTGTGTGTCACTATCTGCTGGTGTAATGAGGGTAATTATTTTTGTCCCGTCAGTTACCGAAACTAAACATGTCACAGAAGTTGCATAAAGTTTGGGTTATTTTCAAATGGCTGAATTTAATTAATATGATTCTTATGTCTTTCAAATGTTCTGATCATTTGAAGTCGAAATAAATTAATTGCTACTGAATTACACTTTTTCCATTGTAACAAAGATAAGTCCAAATGTCCTGCCAGTTAGCGTGGAATAGCCCCATGATGCCTCACATGTCGAAAAAAATGTAAAGGGAGAAGTAGAAAGTGGTCATTTGTACATGTGATTGTCTTAGACAGGTGGCTGTTAGAACAAGTTCCACTGTACATTTTCCCCAAGCCGAAATAGAAGTGACGGACAAGATAAAGTAGGGTTTTTCTTATAAAATGGCAAAAAGCAACTTTACCTTTATCCTCAATAGCATGTGCTTCATTTCAAATAAACAAGCATCATTTGTATGTGTGCCTGGAGAAAGGTCCCAGTTGTCGGCAAAGCAATTTTTTAATAATGGGGTGAAAAGGCCAACAAAAAGTCATACCTGGTCAAAAATTAAGTTCCATCAGAAAACACACTTTTAAGCATTTCTTAATAACACACAGAGAGGATTTTATATTTAAAGTCTAAATATTTTATTGATTACTTCTGCAACATGTTGTACTTCACCAAATGTGCTAGAAATTTGGTCAATATACTAAGATTAAAGCTGTTTTTCTCCATTTGTTTTTTACACCCTGTGTTACAAAATGGCATATCTTTAAAACTACTAAAGACATTCGAAAACTCTTAAAACCAGTATGTTCAGCATTAAATTTGTGACATGAATAATATGCCCTATTTTAATATCCAAAATTTCCGACAACTGGGACCTTTCTCCAGGCAGGCAGGCATGCAAGCAGGCGCACACGCACACACACACTTATTGTACCTGCGAGTTAGAGCAGATGTGTTGATATACGCCTCGCCTGTACCCTGTATTTCCGTTATGAACGGAGGTGTAGTCCTGTACGTATGACTGGCTACCACCAAGGAGTACCTCAGGGTCTGACTTGGGTCTGTCTTCCCGGTCACTGAGAGGTCAACGATGTCACCGTAAACGATCCTCTGATTCCGTGCCGGAGATTTTAACACTACAATTGGATCTGAAAAAGAAGTTTATTAAGCCCCATCACTTACTTTATTGTTATCGTAGAACAAGCAGTATCGTAGCCTCAGAACTATTTTATTCCAAAGTGCATCCAGTTAAGTCCAAATTTTGAGAATTAAAAAATATTTACGCCCTCCCAAAGCTCTATCAAAGATGCACCTCTCCTCAACATCACCAAAATGTAGTATAATGCTATGGTCAAGGCTAATAATTTTGTCTTGCTTTTCATGATTCCTGATAGGAAAAATACAACAAAAGCTAGTTTTTTATTCTCTGGTGCAAGAAAGTACCCAAACAGACCTGAGTGGATTGCTTGTGACACAGACAATAGTGTCCTTATTTATTTCAGTAAACGATAGGCGAGTGCGCCATTAACTCAGTTGGTATCATGCTGGATAAGGGAGCAGATGGCCCTGTTCGAATCCCAGATAGGACATTCTTGAACTTAGGTCATTTTGTGGAGTTTTCAAAGCTTTCAACTCATTTGGCTCAGTCCTATTGAAGACAGATGTTAAATTTGGAGGTCCCGATTCTTAAATAAGGCTTTTAACTTTTTTAGACTGAACAAAATACACACCAGAAAGCTTGTTTATAGCCGGAAATAAGCACATCAGGTGGGGAGGGAAAAAAAAGGAGAAACAGAGGCAAGATCTTTCAGTGACACCCTTTAACCATCCCCATTTACCTGCCTACAATTTGCGTATTATTTACATGCATGGGCCTCAGAATTAGATTCCCATAAAATGACCACAGATGTAGCTTTTCCTTTCTTTCCTTTCAACTTTTATTTGCCTTCTTCTTTAACCATTCTGAAGCATCACTGAACATTTCACGTGTGAATTAATCTTTTCAGGAAAAAGCAAAAAATCCACTAAAAAATGATCAGAAATCATTAGCCCTCTGAGCCCTGACTTTTTGAGGCTACCATGCCCCTCTGCATGAGCTCCTGAGCCAGTCCCACCTTCATACATATCATCGTCAGAAACACATACCATATCCCACTCAGGGCAGTCCTCGTCATTACCAGAATCTAATTCAGAAAGATCTTCAAAATATAACGCCCTGAGTAGTTAACACTGTAAGTGTTTTCTGTGCGTGTTTTGTCACAGACGGGCTGGTTTGGGGATAGGGTCTTGCACACCGGTGTACCAGTGGCTAGGCACACGAGCTATTTCACTCCCAGTCCTACTCTTTCCTCAGTAGACGAGTTCCAAATCAATACAGTCGTAAGCCTCATGATAAAAAAAACAATGACGAAAGAGAAATTCTTCAGTGCTACAAACTGTTAGTTGGCACCTTTAGCTTTGATGAAAAGGTATTGGCTGTCATTATCATAGCTGCCCACCCCTCTCTGTGGCTATCAGGGACAGCCTTGCTTAAAATCAGGGACATTGACTAATTATCAGGGACACTTTATGCATAGTCGTTATACCTTAATACTGCACACCTGTCAACTCTCCTGAATTTTTCGGGTATCTCCCGAATTTTCACCGTTTTCCCGAGCAACAGAAATCTAGTTCAATTTCCCAAAATTCACACACAAACAAAAAATAATTATAATGTCAATGTCGTCAGAATGCGAAACTGGCCCGCAATGCAGGCCCTAGGCCTGAACCCTTGCATTATAATAGTGTAAATAGATGAGTAAACCCTAGGAGAGTTAGAGGAAGATATCTTAATATTATTATCATTATTATATTACGTCATAGCATGCCCGTGGCGTGATATAACTGTCTTCAAACTCACGGGCCACACTTAATTTCTCCTGGAGTCAATCTCTCTTCAAAATTCCCTATTTTTGATTTTTGAAAGTTGGCAGGTCTGAAACTGGTTTGCTACTGTCGTCTGCTAGCGCTGAGGAGAGCTGTTTGTTCTGTCGCTCTGTAAAGTTAACGAAGTCCGTAAACCGTCGTAAATCTAGACCTAGCTAGAATCTAGATCTAGGCCTAGATTTAGATAGCCTATCTAGGCTAGTTTGTGTGAAAGCGGGTGCGACAAAAATAGATTATGCTAATTCCCTCTCGCTCTCTCATTAGGCATAGTGCAAGTGATGCGTGTGGTGAAGGCATCGCGTGATTGTGAAGGTGGAGGTGTGTGTGTGTGTAGGTGTAGGCCTAGCCATCGTGTGCGTGTAGGCCTACGGTGTGGTGGTCTTGGCCTAGGATGCCTAGTGTGCGCTGTCACCAGTCACTGTCAGTTGCCTGTCATCATTGCAATGGAATCTTGTTCCCCTCTTCGCTAGGCCTAATTTTTCTGTTTTAGAAGTATGTTTGCCAAGTTTTTTGGGGACCGTTGGTCAAAATCCGTATTTCCGGGAGAACAGCGATTTTTCAAGAAAATCCGTACAAAATACGGATGGCCCGGGACAGTGGGCAGCTATGCACTATAAAAACCGTAAGACCCATCCAGATCTAGCTCTTGATCATAGTCATCTTCAGAGCTCTAAAAAAAACCATAAATAAATCTAGTTTCATATTTGCAACTGAAACTAACTAGGGGATTTGTCTTTTTGTTACCATCTCTCACTTATTCTCACTTCTAAAAAACACAGAATCCGGTTCTGTAATAATTACAGGTCTAAATTGTCCCACATGTGCTCAAAACCTGTTATTCCAAATCAAAATTTCTAGAGAAATTGGATAATCAATCGAAGTCCTCAAAATTTTTTCTTTTTCTTTTATAGTAGAGGGTTTTACGAAGCTCGCAACTGCATAAGGTCATATGAGCGCTAAGGGGTGGGTGTCAACAGAAAAGTCTTTATAGGGAATCAGACTTAAACTGCTCACCTCTCTAGCTTCAACAGCACCAGGTCTGCTTCGACTATCAAGGCACCCCGGAAATAGCAGGTCACAAGAGAGTGACAAACATACAAAAGAAGTAGAGGAAAATGACAAGGAAAATAAGTATCAGGAAAGAAAGAGCAGCAGTTCCCTGTTGTAGATCAGGCACAGTTATGAGCGTGACATGAGTCAGCCCATTTACAATTCTACTATGCTTGAACGAGAAATGTCCCCCCTTTGGGAATGGCCTAAAGACACTACAGTCAGTGAGTGGCACTGCCCCGGGGGTCCTTGAAAAAAGGATTTTTGTAAAATAAAAACTTCCACAAATGATGGTGCAAAATGAAACGTGTCATGAATCTACACGGGACGCAGTAAGACAATAGACGCTCCCATCGTCTCTCCGACCAGAGAGAGTTAAATCATTGAGGAGACCAATCCCTGAGTATGCTACAAACACATCCCAAATTATCTAAATTGTGTTGATGGGGGTGAACAAAACACCTTCACTTAAAAAAACAACAACCCAAAAACACCTCTCAACCCCATCTCCATCTACTCACTGATAACATTGAGGCAGGCGTTGTTGAACAATGTATCGTTGCCCTTAGAGACCTCACACTGCACACACAAAATGTCTCTCGGCTTCAATGCATGGAGGACCGAGAAGCTGGTACGTTCGTAGGACAGGTCGAAATGGTTTTTATTTATCACATCTGTGAATAATAGCAAAAATTTAAAACCTCCAGTAATTCCATGTAAGAACAGAAAAGAAAGAAAGGGGGAACTAAGAAAAGCTAATAAAAAAATAAAAAGAAAGAATAATAAAAAAAAGAAACGCAGCTTTACTAACCAACAAGATTTTTCTTTAAAAAAATGATTGTTTTACACGCAAAATGGTTAATAAGGCAAAATGTCATGATCTCAAACTTTTTTTTTCTTCAATTTTAGTGAGAGTTTTATGGCTCTTGCAATATAACTAAGTCATGTAAGTGCCGAAGATTAAAAGTGTTACCATAAAGTAACATACAAAGAACAAAATGAGGAGAGACAAGAATGAAAGATGTTTGATGGAAAAGAAGAAGCAAATCACACCAGAGAACCAGCCAGACCACCAACTCACAAACAAGAAAACCCACGCATGCCACACACATACACATATATTACATATATGGCAGCAGAACAGGTGCATTCCTTTACAATTCCTTCAACGTCAAATTACTTTTCGGCAATTGCCGAAGACAGGTCTGTTTTACCAGGAGTACATTTATTAGATGAAGAACTATCAAAATAGGTTCACTTGTTCTGATTTAATGACCAATTTAGTGATGCATATGTCACTTTTAGATTTTGTATCAAAAGACAGTCCTGGCATAGTGGCTCTACCCCCCTCGGAGATAAAGAGTTATACTAACTTGTTCCTTTTTCTTGCCTTTGACTAAAAACATACCAGTCCATCCTGTTTTTTAGTAGAGGGTTTTACGGCGCTCGCAACTGCATAAGGTCATATGAGCGCCAAGGGGTGGGTATCAACAGAGAAGTCTTTACAGGGAATCAGACTTACTCTGCCCACCTCTCTAGCTTCAATGGCACAAGGTCTGCTTCGACTATCAAGGCACCCCGGAAATAGCAGGTCACACGAGTGTGACAATCATACAAAAGAAGTAGAGGAAAATGACAATAGTAAGGATCAGGAAAGAAAAAGCAGCAGTTCCCTGTTGCAGATCAGGCACAGTTATGAGCCTGACATGATGAATCAGCCCATTTACAATTCTACTGTGCTTGAACGAGAAATGTCCCCCCTTTGGGAATGGCCTAAAGACACTACAGTCAGTGGCACCGCCCCGGGGGGGATAGTCTATCGTGGCCGAATCAGGTGCTCATCAATTTTTGAGCATATGGAGTTATTGGTATCACCTCAAAGTTTGTTCATTTGTCTTTCTTTTGATGAAAAAAAATAATACCCATCTGTCTTGAAAAGAAGTCGAGATATTTGTGTCTCGAGGCCGTGGAATCAGGCGCTCGTGAGTTTTTGGGCATGTGGAGTGATTTGTATTGTCTGAAAGCTTGTTTATTTGACTTGCTTTCAATGAAAAAATTAACCATCTATCTTCAATAGAAGTGGAGATATTCTTGATTGAAATAGGTGAGGGTTACCTGGTTTCAGAGGTGAAATTAACGAGAAAATGGCCTCCAAAGTTTGGTGACTACCATAGTCGGAGAGTCCTTGGAGACAGTAAATTTACATGTTTTGTGCATCTATTCAATGTTTTTAAGTAAAACCCACACAAGAATTTGTTTTTACACGGACATGAAAGGTGTTCAGCCAAAAAATAAAATTTGGAAAAAGATTGCCAAATAGAAAGAAAACTGCCTTTTTCTTCGATTTCATTATTTTGACGAGTGCCTGATTTCACCGCGATGAGTCACATTTGCTATTGAAGGAGGCCTGGTGTCAGAGGTGAAATTAGCAAGTAAAACGTTGCCACACTTTGATGTCCTCCAAAGCTAGAGTGTCCTTGAAAGTAGCAAATTTACATTTTATGTGCCTTAACGTTTTTCAATTAAATCCACACATAAAAGTGTTTTTAAATGGACATAAAAGGTGTTGAGCCAAAAAAAAAAAGTTTCGAAAAAAAATTGCCCAACAGGGAAAAAAAAATCCGGTTTCTTTGATTTCAATATTTTGATGAGTGCCTGGTTTTAACACGATGTCTCACATTTCTTATTGAAGGAAGTAAGAGTCGAATGGTTTCAGAGGTTAGTGAAAAAAAGGGTTTTTTTGGTGCCTGCCAAATCTTGAGTATCAATGAAAACTGCAAATTTATATTTCTTGTGCCTTTGATCAATGTTTTAAAGTAAAATTTGCACACAGATATATTTTTTAATGGATATAAAGAGAGTTAAGTCCAAAAAAATTTGATAAATACTGCCGAACCGGCAGAAAAAAGTAGGTTTTTCTCCTTTTTTTCATTAGTTTAAAGAACAACTGATTTCACCACAATGCTACACATACATAAACTTGAAAACAAACAGCCACAAACCAAACCATGCACACACATATTTATAACCTTAAACACAAACGTATGCACACAAATAAACTTAAACACAAATGCACACACTAACTATACACACACAAATAAGCTTTAAACACAAACACACCCACACATGTAACTCGTTTTGAGTCATTGCTACACTATGTGACAATTCTCACCCCATTCTACAGATCGACCATCTAAGAACCACTTCACGAGCGGTCGATCCATCTCATCCGGCAAGTAAAGAGCGTCACATTTAAACGTTGCGTCGCTGCCCTCGACAACAGTCTGAGCTTTTGGTTCCTCGATGGACAACAGCCCAACTGTAGAGGAAAGCAAAATTATTCAGTCAGACCTGCTCCAATGGCCACCTGTATAAGACAATCACTTGAACAAATGGCCATTTACTATTTCTCCCTTTATGGTTTTTTGTTTGTTTTTGTTTAGTTTTTTATTTTAATTTTTACATTATCATGACACTTTGTAAGACAGCCACCTATCTAAGAAGGCCACTCTTATTCTCAGCAAAGGGTGACCTAGCCAGTTTGGTTTCATAACTAAAGAGATCTTTGAAACTATTCCATCATTGCATTCTCTCACACAAAATGTGCCTTGTATCGTGCCCATCATACCATTCATGCAAGCGAACTGCTCTGTCTTCCTTGTAACATTATGCCCACTGCACACTGTCAATCGCATTCAACTGCACTGGGTCAGATTTAGTCAGATGTTTCTTCACGAATAAGGCAAAAGCTGCCATTTCAATACATTTCAACTGAGTTCAACAGTAACCTTCAAAACCAAGTGCCTGTGTTTTTCATTGGTGCAAGTCAAGTGAGCCAAAACGGTAGCTTTTGCCCCTCCATTGAAAAAAATATGGCCGTTCCCAACTCAATTTGATTGAATATAACTGACAGCGTGCACTGGATAAAAGCTCCCTTTGTTGACGGGAACAAAAGAAGTAAGTATTCAAGGTGTTCACATACACTCATTTTTTAAATAAGAAAGATGAAAAAAAATAAAAATCAAACCTTTTTCATTTAAGGTGAAAGTCTGAGAATCATAGCCGTAGGGGGTAAGACTTTCACATCTATACTTCTTCGACCTTTGTATGCCCGGCCATCGTATATACAATCGATGGTTATCAGAGGAGACAAAGTAACGGTCATCCCTGAAACACAAGAGCAGGAGCTGGAGTCACAGAGTTGCCTTGGCTTCATTTATGGGGGAAAGATAACCACATCACCTCAGCTTTATTTGTGTACGAGAAAGATAACCACATCACCTCAACTTCATTTATATTGGAGAAAGATAACCACATCACCCCAACTTCATTTATATGGATGGGAGAAAGAAAACCACATTTGCATCATTTATGTGGCAATAAGGTAACTACATTACCTCAATTTCATTTATACAGGAGAAAGGTAACCACATCACCTCAACTTCATTTATATGGAAGAAAAGTAATCACATCACCTCAACTTCATTTAAACAGGAAAAAGGTAACCACATCACCTCAACTTCATTTATATGGGAGAAAGGTAACCACATCACCCCAACTTCATTTATATGGAAGAAAAGTAACTACATTACCTCAACTTCATTTATACAGGAGAAAGGTAACCACATCACCTCAACTTCATTTATATGGGAGAAAGGTAACCACATCACCCCAACTTCATTTATATGGAAGAAAAGTAACCACATCACCTCAACTTCATTTATATGGGAGAGAGATATCTACATTACCTCAGCTTTATTTGTGTGGGAGAAAGGTAACCACATCACCCCAACTTCATTTATATGGAAGAGAGATATCTACATTACCTCAACTTCATTTATATGGAAGAGTGTTATCTACATTACCTCAGCTTTATTTGGGTGGGAGAACGGTAACCACATCACCTCAACTTCATTTATATGGGAGAAAGAAAACCACATCACCTCAACTTCATTTATATGGGAGAGAGATATCTACATTACCTCAACTTCATTTATACGGAAGAGAGATATCTACATTACCCCAGCTTCATTTATATGGAAGAGAGATATCTACATTACCCCAGCTTTATTTGTGTGGGAGAAAGGTAACCATATGTGTCATGATGCGGTGGAATCAGGCGATCGTCAATTTTTGGGCATTTGGAGTTATTGGAATCATCTTAAAGCCTGTTTATTTGCCTCTCTTTTGATGGAAAAAATATCCATCTACCTCGAATAGAAAGTCGAGATATTCGCAATTGAAGGGGGTTGGGGTCGCCTGGTTTCAGAAGTAAAATTAGCTAGAAAATGGCAGCCGACGTTTGGTAAATCCCAAAGCCTGAGAGTCCTTGGAAACTGAAAAATTAACATTTTTTCTGCTTTTAATCAATGCTTTTCAGTAAAATCCAAACAAAAATGTGTTTTTAAATGGACATAAAAGGTGTTGGGCTAAAAAATAAAAATTAGAAAAAAAATTACCCTTCGTCAAAAAAAGGGCCTATTTCTTTGATTTCATCATTTTGACGAGCGTCTGATTTCACCTTGGTGCTTCACATATGGCTTTGGCTTTATTTATGAGGGAGAAAGGTTAAAAAAAAGGGGAAGGCCTTTTTTTGTGTACCACAGCACCCCTATTCAATGGGGAAGGGCAGAAGAAATGAAATATTAGCTAGGAAAATCAGTTGTGGAACGAAAGCTAAACATTATAAAGATTGTTTACATCTTCTTTATGTTCTCAATAACAAATCGCTACTTAAGGGGGAGCGCGGCTTTTAAAACGGACGATTTTGGGGTCAAATTATGGTATCGAGGTTTTTTACATCTTGTGAAACTTCAACCTCTCCCGTACCTAAAAATAGCTATGAGAGAATTTAGAAATAGCGTATTTACACCTAAAATGTCTTTCAAAACACTAGGGTAGGGAAAAAATTGTATGATTTTGAGAAAACATGATCTATTTCTCATCAATTGACCAACCAATAATTAAAGTTTATATCGGAATAAGCATACAGTGTTGTATATCGATGGAATCGTTATTTTCCCCTCTGACTGAATAAATATGCAACTGGGTCATGACGTCTCATCACTGCTTCCTATTAGCTCAGAACGAGACAAAGGTTTGACCAAGATTGACCTAGATTGTGGGCTGAATGTTTACTACTGAGATGACCTTGAATGTTGATTGGCTAATGCGAATGACCCCAAGGAATGCTCGAATTCTGTTGGTTCTCCACCATAGTTACAAGGTCACTTCCGCAAAGCTTGACCCATAATTGCACGTGGAATTTTCCGTCTTTTCTTGAATGAACAAAGGATTTTCTTTGTATACAGGCTCATGTGTGTCGATTGTTTGTGCGCATGTGTACTTGGTGTGTAGTCTCAAGTCAAAGAAACGCATTTGTCTCTCGAAACGAAGGGCCACTTTCAGATTACGTGCTGGATGGCAGCATCACTGTGTCGATAACGCTCTACAATTGCTGTGCTCACTCGTCTCTGATATTGTTAGTAAGGTTGTTACTTACTTAGGCCTTCTTGTATACTTGAAGCGGACATTCTAGATTTGTTCTAGATTTGTGAATTGCGTTAGTATTGAAAATGCCGAAGAAGAAGGTGACTGGTCGTTCGAAGCAGCTGCAGAAAGCTTGTGAGATGCGTGGAAAGGCTGTGGAACTGGAACTCGATAGGAGCTGTGAAGCTGAGGTTGAGGTACGTAGACAAGATTCTCTAGCCTAGTGATATCAATTTATATGTGTACTTTAGTATAAATGTGGTTACTAGAATGATAGAACTAGTAGTAGATCTAGATATAGCGTGTGTAGATCAGATCTGTACCATGTGGTTTGTGTGCACGCGTGTGTGTGTACTTTAGTATTTGTGGTACTAGAATGATATAGATCTATCTAGTAGTAGTAACGTGTGTGGATCTAGATCTATGTGGTTTGTGTGTGTGTGTGTGCATGATTAGACTCTATTCTTTGTTGCAGAAATGAAAAATATCTATTGATTCTTCTTACTGAATTTGAAATGCATGGTTACCTAGGCCCTATATTCATTTTTATATAGGCACAATTTTTTTCAACTGTATGACTTTTTCATGTAGGCCTACAGGCCTAATGTTTTAACATTTTCAGTCAACAGATTTTGAATATTCAGTACCAGAAATTTACTTGCATGAAGCTGATTTTTCCGTAACTTTTTTTCCGCATTCCTCGTCTTCTGTCCCTGTGCCCCCAGAGATGCCTGCATCGTCTTCGATTCTGGATATTCCAGAGACCCCGCGGCCTGTCTTTCCACCGGACCCTCTGCTGCTGATCCCTCTCCGTTCCCAGGAGAAGCTGAGTAGGTATGTCGTGCCTGCTGCTGCTGAAGATACGTCTCGAGCCATCGTGGAGTTGTCGCAGGTTGAGGGGCTGTTCCAGCAGCTTCAGTGTCCCCAGTGTGGCATCGTTGGGACTTTGTCGCTACGTCAGATGGGT